CTGTGTTCCTTCTTTATTACGTTACAGCAGCTCTCCGGCACATGCAGACTGCTCTGACCGCACAGTCACAGGCCAATTACTCTGCCCGCTCACTTTGTTTGTGAGAATATATGCGTTTGTTTGTTTGAATGTGTAATTGAGTTTTGCATTATCTGTGGTCTGTGTGCAGTCACAGCATCTCTGGCTTCAGTATAATGAGATATTTATAATGATGAAATCAGATCTGTCCAATCTGATCTTACACAGAAGACTTAAAGCTGCACACAGATGATCAGCAACGTCATTCTTGATTTGTAGGAGAAATAAATACATTTAAAAAAGAAATTGGCGATAAATGTGTAGAGGCCTGTATGCATCAAAACTACAGCTTACTACTTGAGTTTTAAAAGGTCCATTGACTGCAGAAATAACTTCTGTTTCCAAGATCAGACAAAGAAAAACACCCAAACAAAGAAAACCTTTGATTTAGAAGTTATATCCGCGTAGTACTAATAATAATTCACACGTTCTCTAACATCAAATAGTTATCTACTAAATATTGCTGGAGCGAATGCTGTACTCCTCGACTGACTCTTTCTCCCCCCTCTCCCCCGCCATGCTTGGGTGGTGTTGTTGCCGAGATAAGGAGGTGAGGGCTAAATACTGAGGAGGAGCTGCCATTGCCAACATGGCTACACAAACAGTGTGAAGGCTGTTTGGGGAATATAAACTATGATATCTGATAACAATGTGCCAGCACTTTAGTCTGGAACTCCTCACTCTGTTTGTTGTTCATTGACCTGTCTCACTCTTCCTCACATCTCTGCCCGTCTGCCTCCTCGTATTTATTTTCCTTTTCTGCAATAATTATTTGTCCTCTTCAGCTCTGTTCTTTATCTTTCCATATTTCTCATTCGATCAATAATTTGATGCAAAACATAATGCAAACCAGGAACTAGGGAGGCCGGACTGACGCGCTGAATGAGAGAGAGCAGACACAAAAAGAGGAGTGACGGGCGACACGCAGGTTGGATGGAGGAAGCCATTGTTTGCACAGGGCGGGTGGGAGGGAAGCACCTTTTAGTGTTGTGTGAGGCTTTAGTACAACGATAAGGGAGCTGCGCTGGCAGGCGGACGCTAGCAGAAGGTCTTTGGATTAACATGGAGCCGGTTTAAGGCATCCACAGACAGACGGACAGATGGACGAGCTGGCACGCTGTTTGCAGCCACACTCCTCCGCAGCGCTCCAATCAAATGCGCAGGATTTGATTCAAATGTCTCTTGTAACTGCGCACTGGTTTAATATTTTGTGTTCCATGTGCACGTGGATCAACTCAGACTGCGGCTTGTACGCAGTCCAAACGCAGTCATGGGCTCTTTCTGCCGTGCACTGCGTTCCTATAACGGAGGTCATTTGTTTGTTTCATGTGGTATTTGAACAATGTAGCAAAATAACCCCCAGATATGATGTCAAGGATCTTAGTAATATCTCAAAATGACTTGGACCGATATCTTGGATCTTGTTATGGATTGTGACGTAATTATGGGCTGATTGTCTCAGGATTAAAATCAGACATCCTCGCCAATTATTAGAACTAATCTAAAGGACATACTAGTCCCTTGCAAATAAGGCTTAGCTGAGGGACATCTGCAGTTCGCCGCTCATGTATTTATGTTTTGATTGATGTGATAATTCTGGTTCTGAGGAACCGCCACCCGGCTTGAACCCGCGGAGAGAAGGAGAGGGGGCCGGGGGGGCCGGGGGGCGTGTTCGGGAAGACACAAGCATGAAAGCAAATATGGAAACGCATTGATCCCCACTCTGATTCAATGCAGATGCACTTCAAATGGAAAAAAAAATTGAAACCTTTTTTCATGATTTTGCATATTTTTCGCTTGTGTGTTCCACTCTTTGTCGACTCACTGGCAGCACAAACACGTGTGAAGAACAGGACGAAGTGGATGAAGGGAAACGGAGGAGAGGAGGCCGTGAGGCTCCAGCCAACATGCTTTGACTAAGGAAAACATTTGCATAAGATTTGTATGCGTTTGTTAGTTGGAATGAGCCATTAACCCCTTTCTATCCTGTGACTGGGAGGGTCAGTCCTCTAGTAAACTACCCCGCCTCCCCGTTAGCCACTACAGTTTGGAAAAACAGATTCCTGCCACCTTCCTCCCCTCATTCCTTGTTCCATAGCAAGAGAAAGGAGTCAAGTGAGGGAGGATGAGGAGTTGAAAGACAGGAAGAGCGGCGACGGCTGAGGCCGGAAGAGAGGGAAGGAGGTGAGGGGGTGGGAAGGAAAAGCAGCGTTACACATGCTTCACATTGATGTTTGTCCCGTCATTTATTGCTCATATACAACAAATCCCGTTTTATGGAGATCAGCTGTGAAGGGAGAGGCGGATGAAAGAGGTTCAGAGAACTACTTTGAAGCTTTGACAGCAAGTTTGGAAAACTCTGTGCAACATCCAGCGCGCTCCAAATCTGTTAGAGGATCCACTGCATGCACGCGTGGTCTTCCTTGTGCTGCCTTTCGTTTTGGTGTTTTCTGAGAGACTTGTTTCCTCATCTGTCCGGGTTAAGAAGCGGATTGTCCTTGGGGGATGTTTTGGCGTGCGTCATCAACACCACCATTCCTCTCCTCGGCGTTATTGGCTCGACAGATGACGGCTAAATATAGAGCATCCACTTGCATGTTCATGTGCAGCGGACATGCAGTCAGGCCACACTCATAAAGCATCGACTCCTAGAGGCACCTTCAACCACAGCTTTCATGTCATTTTTCAAGCAGGAATTCCAATCAATGATCTAAATGAATAAATGAAATGTCTCTCCATCGAATGATCAATTAACCAGTTCAACCTCTTTCGTTTTGCAACAGCTTTCAGGCCATTATAGGTCTAGAAAAATGCATGCATGTAAGTGTATGACTTTGGTAATGCAAATCATAAATCAAATAGAACTATATGGGCCCAATATGATTTGGAGGAGTTTATGGACAGAAGAATGACAAGTGCGGCGCTGAGCGAGCTCAGTCGGGCTGAGGTGGGGAAGAATGACAAGTATTTGGGAGGTTTTACAGATGTTTTAGTGGAGTCAACTGCTGGAAAGAGAGAGAGAAGATAAGCAGGGGGAGAGCGAACACGAAGGGTGGCAGAAGAAGAGGACACGCACATGCTGCCCAAAACAAGTTCATATACATCCATGTGTATGATTAGATGAGGAATGGATGTGTTTCTCTTGTTTTGTTCTTCCATCTCTGACTGACACACACACACCAGGAGAAGGCGTAGCAGGGTGGAGCGGGTCATGGCTACAGTCATTGTTTTGGCCGACAGACTTCCTGTTCCAAGTGTTTACGACGCCCATCACACGACACAGCTGCGTCCAAACTGGACAGAACTTTATCAGATTTCTACCTGTCTGTTTTAGACACACATGCACGGATTAGGAACTAGTGCACACACTCACACAAAGCCTTGGAAAGGATGTTTGAACCAGAAAAGCCTTAAACTCTTTGACTATGACCAAACAAACACCCTCACCTGCACAATCTCAAATGCAAGAATTTAAAAGCTTCACGCAGCAGGATGTGTAGTGAATTCTGGGTAAATGATTAAAACTTGATTAAATGCAAAAACGTTCACATTCCGTACTTAAAACCTCAAAGATGGACTGTGTCCACCCTTTTTCAATACTTTAATGCTGTTTATTTAGCTTCTTCTATTGTTATTTGTTTCAGCAGTACTGTGGACGCTTCTTCCAGGCCATAGCGGCATTTCACTGAAACTCAAACCTACATTTTACCTCTTTTTAACTGCAGTATTGTCACACCAGCTATTTTCCCCACGTGTGGGATTTACCTAAATTTGGTGTGTGTGTGTGTGGTTGTGCAAATCTCACTGTGTGTGTGTGTGTGTTTGTTTTTGTGTGGCCATCAGGCCTAATTCTCCCTCTGTGGACCTTTTGTGAATGTCAGGACTTTTTAAACGTTTTCATGACAGGGACGCCCCCCCCCCCCCCCCAGTATTACGCCCAAGTTGGTTTACAGTGTTCCTCATGGTGAGGAGCTGATGGAATTACGTGAGTTCTTTTGTTGGATGGCGGTTTACAGGAGTTTAGCAGAGTCGAATGTTCTTTCTCTCATCTTTGCCTCAGCTGTTTGATGGTAGATTTTCACCGGACTGTTTTCCTATTTTCAGAAAACATCGACAAATCAGAACACTTTATAGCTCAGGAATCTGCTGAAACTTTTTCTAAGTGTACGGCTAACGATATCTCAAGTCGCCAGTTTGGTGAAAATTGCTGTTTTTGTCCACACAAAAACAGAAATTCCCCCCCCCCCCCCCACACACACACACACACACACACACACAGCCAAAAAGGCCATTGGAATATACAGGCGAGTATTCCCACTCACTACTATGTGTATTTAGATGCGATAGTGGCCCAGATTTGCTGTGAAAGCGTATCTGCTGCTGCTTCGTCTTTTTCGGGGCCCGGGAAGTCAAGTCTGGTCGTCTTTAGTGTCGGGTGGCTGCGTCTATTGTCATCACAAGATGGCTCCAGCCCGCCGCCGTGTGCGAGTAATGCGTCCAGACAGGCGCGCTCGCCGTGTAGCTGCCATAAATGCGAGTGTTGGCCTTTGTGTGCAGCCATGCAAGTGTGTTCGCGTACTCGGCCGCGTGTGTATGTGTGTGTGTGTGTGTGTGTGTGTGTGTGTGTGTGTGTGTGTGTGTGTGTGTTGTCGACTCAGCCTTTCCCAGTCAGCCCCCCACTCTCTAATCCCCATGATCCTCCTCTCCCCCTCCCCTCCGCCACTTTGTTCTTCCTCCCTCCACCCTCATCCCTCCTCTTCCCTTCCTGTCCCCCCCCTCTCTGCTCTTTCTCTGCACTCTGTCTTATTCAGTCACTCTACTATATAGGAGCATAATGTGGTAAAGCTCACTACTGCGTTTCTTGGGGGGGGGGGTTTGTGTCTTTTGAATAACTCCATGAATGGCGGCCCTTTCTCTTGCAGGCGGTGGAGAGAGAGCAGGTGGACGGCATCCAGCCGAAGCTGCAGCACATCAACGCAGTGGGTCAGGGCCTGATCCAGAGCGCCGCCAAGCACACGGACACCCAGGCCCTGGAGCATGACCTGGAAACCACCAACCTCCGATGGAACTCGCTCAACAAGCGGGTACGTCCGCGCACAGACTGGGGCGTAGCGTCGCGTGGACTTCCTGTTCTCCACTCACAAAGCCGCCTCTCCTGTCTTTAGGTGGCCGAGCGCATCGCCCAGCTGCAGGAGGCCCTGTTGCACTGTGGGAAGTTCCAGGATGCTCTGGAGCCGCTGCTGAGCTGGCTGAGCGACACGGAGGAGCTGGTGGCCAATCAGAAGCCCCCGTCAGCAGAGTACCGCGTGGTCAAGGCCCAGATCCAAGAACAAAAAGTACGAGAAGATGAATGAGTGACCTTTGATTTTACAAATGATTTTAGGTTCTTAAATATACAGTTTGATAAGAAGAGTTTTACATGAAGTGCCTTTGCGTTTTAAAGTCACAGTTAGCATTATTTGAAGTTCAATTCCATCGTCAATATATTATCTACAGTAGAAAGCCAGTTAGGGGAAAACAGAAAGGAGTAGCAGCACCGGGGCCGAGCAGCAAACCGCTGTGGATGTTTTTTACACTTTTAAAAATATCAGTAGAAGTAGAACCGCTGTTTACTGTAGGCAAGCTAACTGAAATAGAATCCAGACTTTCCCTTTATTTCTCACACACACACACTTTTTCCTCTGTTTACTCAACATACACTTCCTGTGTTTGTGCACGCGAGTGTGCTGCAACCTCGACCAGCGATCAATCAGGTGCGTTAACATCCGTGACGGAGATCGGTGTCCCTGCTGGGCCGAGAACTGTGGCGAGGGGTGCATTCCACAGAGCTGCTGGTTCAAAGGAGACGAGGAAGGAAACTAGTTGACAAATGTTGTTTTCGGATCCAAGAACAGTTGGATCACTAGTTAACTGAAGCGATGTGTTCTGTCCGCACCTCTTTAAGAAGCAGCATATACCCTAATGAAATGTCCAGCAGCTCAAAGAGATATCAGCCAATATCTGCCATTTGGCGACAGTTACTAGTTGATCACATCTGTCCATCCAAAGTAAAGACCGTTAGCAATGCTTCTAAAGGTTTAATTCTATAATAGTGCTCGCTTAAGTCTGCAGAGCCCAGATGTCCCGCCCACTACTCCACACAGCTATGTTTTTGCTTTCTTATTTAGATATACTTAATATTTCTGCAGTATTCCATCAGTGCACGTCATCAGGGTCGCCAGCAAAACACCCGGCGAGTGTGAAGAAGATCGGACGGACGCCTCTCCGGATATGAGACGGACGGACGGACAGACAGACAGACTCCATCGCTCTACTGTAACAGCCGCTCTCTCTCTCTCTCTCTCTCTCCAGCTGCTCCAGAGGCTGCTGGATGACCGCCGGCCGACGGTTGAGATGATCCGCGCCGAGGGAGAGCGGATCGCAGCCACGGCCGACACTGCAGACCGAGAGAAGATCGGGACCCAGCTGCACAGTCTGGCAGAGAGATGGACCGACCTGCTGGACAAGGCTGCTGGCAGGTAACGCTCAGAAAGAAAGGTTGCATATTGACTCTTTGGATTCTAGTTTGGGTTTGTGATGATCAATACTGTTCATTTAAAAAAAAGTGACTGTTGCATATTAACTGATTAGTAAATATTTGTTTTGTTGGTGGTTCTTTCCTGTTTTCTTCTTTGATCTGCATGTGGCTCCATTCAGCACCATCGCCGTACTAAGAGAAAGAATAGAATCATTACCTTCTGTCCCTGTGGCCTCTTCTGTTCACTGGGGACGGAAATGGTTCTTTTGAAGGGAAAATGAGTAAACACTCGTAAAGCTCAGTGAAGAGGTTTCATATCTCGGATGATCTTGTGTATAGTAGTCATAATATATTCATAAAACATTTATGCCAAACAACATCTGTAAGCCTTGGTGTGCCTGGAATTAATCACGCTGTCTAGCATAAACATTAACAACGTAAATATTTGAAGCGTGTACACACACACACACACACACACACACACACACGCTGCTTTCTCAATAAGCCTGCTGTGCAATGCCTCGGTTAACGCGCACAAAAAGACACTGTTTTGTAAAAGCTCTTTTTCTCTCTGAAACAAACCACAATAATCCATTTTATCCGTTTATGAAATCCTTCAAAATGTAATAATGGATCATAAAAACATTTGATGAACAGCATTCAAAAAAGGAGACGACAGCTGTTATGACGCAAAATCATGTCCAAGTCGCAATCTGCGAATGCAATAAGATACCAATAAGATCTCTCCCCCCCCTCCCTCGCCTCCCCCAGGCAGAGGCAGTTGGAGGAGCTGCAGGTTCTGGCTCTTCACTTCCACGAAGCTCTGGAGCCGCTGGGAGAATGGCTCAGTGCCACCGAGAGACGCCTGAGCTCCGCCGAGCCCATGGGAACCCAGACGGCCAAGATCAGCCAGCAGATCACCAAGCACAAGGTACCGTTTGGGCCCCCCCCCCCCCCCCCCCCCCCGGGACAGAGGAGTCTGAATTCTTTGTCCCCTTAGGAAAGGGCAGGTAGAAGAACTAGAAAGAGCAGTGTGGAGGATTTAGTGTCCTGTCGACCTTGGCCCTCACTGTGTCTCGGTCTGGCTATAATCTGGTTCTATAAGCCATTAGTTGTCTAAATCTCATGGGCAAGTACAGGGCAACTTTCCACTTAAATACCTCTTTGAATATTGTTGGGATTGGTGCTCTACTGCGACGGAAACGCTGCATATAAAAGGAAGGTTCAGAATAACAAACACACAGGCAGGCCCGATAAAAGGAACTTTTATTCATCCACCACCTCCACTGGAGAGGAAGACCAGGGGATAAAATGGCGCCGGTCATTTTTCATTTCAACCACCCTCCTTAGGGTCCATTTCAGGTGGCGTTTTAGGGTTTCCTTCTCGTAGGTTACGCTAATAATTTGGTATCCACACACTTTGGTCCATCCATGAAGTTTAAAAATTCCGGTCCGCCATAAGATTGGCCATCGCCAGAGCCCCAACACCTTTTTTTCTTTCTGTTTTTTGTTATGTTCTCACCTTTCTCTCTCACCCATGGGGGGGGGCACACACACACACACACACACACACACACACAATTACACAAACACCTCCCAGGCGGTCCAAGAGGACGTGTCCTCCCGCCAAGCCGAGGTTGACCGCCTCGAGTCCCTCAGCCAATCGCTGACGCCGCTCAGCTGCGCGGCCGACCGCCATTGGCTGAGCGAGCGCGTGGGGGCGTTGAGGTCGGGACACTCGGAGCTCACCGATTGGTGCTCCCGGCGGGCGGGCATGCTGGAGCAGGCGCTGGCTAACGCCCAGCTGTTTGGGGAGGAGGAGGTGGAGGTGCTGAACTGGCTGGCGGAGGTGGCTCAGAGGCTGGCGCAGGTCTCCGTCCACAGCGCCCAGCACCAGCTGCTGGCCGAGCAGCACAGACACGCTCTGGTACGCCGCCACGAAACATGGGAACAACCGTCACAACCTCCATCTGGGAAAGGGCTTCTGTGTATTTTATATAATTATCACATCACACGTCAAATATCACACATCTTTTGTGTCATTTTTTACCGCTTAATCAATTACAATGTTATATTTTTGAATGAAGTTAATACTATGATATATAAAATGTAATACACATTCAAGTTATGACCTTATGTATTTAATCTTTCTTCTAGTACCCTTATGGTTATATATTTTTGCCTCACTAGTACACACACAAACACGTCGGTGTGACTTTAAATCTTTAAATCGAGGATTCATACTTAGGCTTTAGTTCTTTGAACCGACGCGGTTAACCGCCGCGCTCTCTCCCCTCAGTCTCTGAATGAGGAGATTGTGAGCAGGAAGAAGACAGTGGACCAGGCCATCAAGAATGGACAAGCCTTACTGAAACAGACCACAGGTGACCTCACCCTCTTCTCCTAACCTTCCCTCTCTGTAAACTACTGAGTCTCAATAAAAGGACAGAAAAACAGAAAAGCTAGAAGTGCCTCGTAGGCCTTCTTCTATACGCTGCTGCCTCCAGCTCTATGAAAGCCCCGTGGTGACCCGTGACCCCCACCCGCGTGTCCCCCTGCAGGCGAGGAGGTCCTCCTGATCCAGGAGAAGCTGGACGGCATCAAGTCTCGCTACGGCGAGATGACGGCCGGCAGCAGCAAGGCCCTGCGCACCCTGGAGCAGGCCCTGCAGCTGGCCACGCGATTCGCCAGCGCCCACGACGACATCAACCAGTGGCTGGACGCCGTGGAGGCGGAGCTCCACAATGTGGAGCCCGACGCCACTCCCGCCTACCAGGACAGACAGAAGGTGGGTGGAGAGCGAGATCTGGAAGGTCTGAAGGAAACTGTGAAATCATAAGAAAAGAAATGTGTGTCTTTTCATAACCTTTACATAACATTTAGGTTTCTACAGGCAGTTTGATTACAACAGTGGCATTATTAAGATTGTATGTGTATAGAAGGATTATTTTATGTCTTATATAACACACTACTGATTGCTTCTTTATTTTTAACTGGTTGTGTCATTTGTGCGCATGCAATTTATGCAAATCTTCACCAGTTTTTCTTGAACTGGGGAAGATTTAGTTTTGTTTCATACATTTGAACAAAAGTCCCGCTTCAGAAATTAATTTATGGGCCCCTTGAAAGACACAACAGCGTTAATCCACATTTGAATGATTTTCTTTTCCCCCATATTGGAATAAATAAACGTATTATTTGAAAGGAACAGATAATTGAGGACAGCTGCTGTCTGTGATGACATTTTCAGCCGTTCCAGTACCAATCCACCCACAGTGAGGTTACCATGGTAACATTGATTTTTTTTGTTGGAACTCGGCAACAAAATCAAAAATCTAATAAATGATTGCCTTTCAATGCATCTGTCGAGTTGTTTTCACAAAGTTTCAGCTTTTATAGTTTGATAAGCAGTTTGACTCGCGTGCAGCCGAGAAAACTTGCAGGATTTTATTTAGTCATGTTTAGCAAAACTCATCCCTCACCTCCATCTATGCAGGAGCTGAAAAAGGTGTCGGCGGAGAAGCGCCTGGTATTAGACACGGTGAACGAGGTGGGCAGCGCCCTGCTGGATCTGGTGCCGTGGCGGGCCCGCGAGGGCCTGGACCGCCTGGTCGCCGATGCCAACCAGCGCTACCGCCAGTCTGACGAAAACATCACTCAGCGGGTGCAGTTGGTGCAAGCGGCCCATCCAGAGGTCTCAGCAGGTACAGGTCTTTCCCAGTGTCTGGCTCTCTTACTGCGAGCACTGGGACCTGCTAATCGCTGACTCCTCCCCCCCAGTACGAGGAGGCAGTGGATGCAGAGATGGCCTGGGTTGGGGAGACGGAGCGCAAGTTGGCGTCTCTGGGGCCGCTGAGCCTGGAGCCGGACGTGACCGTGGCCCAGATGCAGGTGCAGAGGGCCTTCAACATCGACATCATCCGGCACAAAGACACCGTGGACCAGCTGCTTGGCACCAGAGACGACATCCTGGAGACGTGCAGCGACGCCCAGAAGGACGTCCTCATAGTGAGTCACCGGCCGAGGCTGGACATTGATTGATTGTTACTGAGCTCTTACCTTCACGTTTTTTTACGCTCCGTCAGGTGAAGACGGATTCCCTCAGTGCTCGCTATGAGGCGGTGAGCCAGAGCCACAGCGAGCGCTTCTCGGCTCTGGAGCAGGCCCAGGTTTTGGTCGCTCGGTTCTGGGAGACCTACGAGGAACTGGAGCCGTGGTTGGGCGAGACCGAAGCCCTCATCACCCAGCTGCCACCGCCGGCGATCGACACGGACGCCCTCCGGCTGCAACAGGACCAGATGAGGGTACGAGGATCCACAGTCTTTCACCTTCCCGACCTAAGAGGCCATCGCTGTGCTTTATCTTATCTTCCTCCGTCTGCCTCTTTAGCTGCTCAGGGAGTCCATCGCAGAGCACAAGCCCCACATCGACAAGCTGCTGAAGATCGGGCCCCAGCTGGCCGAGCTCAGCCTCCAGGAGGGCGCCGCGGTGACACAGCGCTACGCAGAGGCCGAGAGGCGCTACCTGGCCATCAAAGAGGGGGTCAAAGGTCGTGCAACCACCTTAGACGAGGCCGTGTCCCAGTCTGCGCAGGTACGTCACCGAGGACTCATTGCGAACTGACGCTGGATTTGGGAAAGCGTGTGATAACTGACCTGGGTTTAATAGTTTGTTTTATTTCATCTACTCGGGTAAAAGTCAGATAGGTTTGATGTGAGTTGTTTGAAATTCTGTTTAGTGTACGCGTTGACTTAAATTGTGGCTCAGGGAAGAGTTTTATGTTCAATATTTGTTAAACTGTTTGACTCAGGTCTGTTCCCAGCATGATAGACGCCGTCTGCAGCCTCACACCAAATGTGTTTGCTCTGTCTGCTGCTCAAACTAAATAATAACAAGGATTAATTGTCAGGTGTTATTTCTTCTATTTTGCTTTAGATCTAATGACTTAGAGACGATGAGTTTTGATGAGTTTTTAGTCTCGCTGGATCATATCTGTAGATTTGGTTTCTTGCTGTATTCATCTGCTGAGTTTGATTGAATCACCTGTGCTGCCTGACATTTTGTTCTCTGTACACTGTGCATGTCTCTGATTTAACTCATTGAATTGTCTCTCCACCCTCCGCCCCCCCCCCCCCCCAAACCTCTTTCCTCTGGGAAATCCCATTCAAATGTTTTCTTTCTTCCACCGTCCTCATCTCTCACTCCCTCTTCCACCACCACCCTCCTTGTCTCTCCTTCCTCCTCCTTTAACCTTAATCTCCCCCATCATGTCCACCCCTCGTCCTTGCAACCCTCCACCATCGCATCCCTCGTTCATTGTGGATTGTGTGTGTCGCCCCCCCCCCCCTCTCACCATCATTCTATCCATCGTCACTGCTCACTGCAATCACCCAGCTGGTAGAGGTAAGACCACTGACTGACAGCATCAAACTGACACTCGGGGTGCGGCTACGCCACATGATTTGGTGGACTAGTAAAATATGAATCTATACTAATACTATTCGACTACTAATCTGAGATGATGTAATTATCTATCCACTTTATCTCAAAAGGTAAACGTTGTCTGGATTATTAGAGATCTCCAGTTTATTCTCCACTTACAGGGACGGGTTTGATTTTTGGAGTGTGGTTGTATTCTGTACTTTTCCATTTTAGTTGATGTTTGGAAAAACAGAGGAGCACAGGAACAAAGCAAAGTCCTGCTGTGGACCTATTTTAGTCACCATAATAATTGCTACATTACAGAGAACCTTCTCCATCGGGACTCTGCTCTGTTCAGAGCCTCTGGAATCCTTTGACAAGTCCAGTCTGCTGCTGTAGTTAATGGAAGAGTACCGCAGACAACCTCACTTCAAAAAATGTGGAATATCCCTTTCATTTTTAAATGATCTCCATAATAGTCCAGGCCATGTGTGTGCCAACCCTGGGTGACAATACAACTGAATAGAATCTGTTAGGAAGACTGGCATTAAGCCGAGCCTAAACCTGAGTCCAGGTCTCACTAGGCCTGATTGTCCTTGATAGCTTTCCTTTTGTATCACTTGTGTCTAGATGAGGTTTGTTGTGCTGTGAAGCGATCGAGCTGATTCCCCTCAGATGCATAAAAAGAAGCCTGTTGTTTCTCCATAAATTGTCTCTTCTATTCTGTCCCTGAACTGAATTTAGTGGATTAGCAGCTCCCTCCTGTTTGGTAGATACAGCTTTGTCTGATTTAAATTGCCTGGATGACATGCTGAAGGTACATTATTGAGATATCAAATATTGTCATATAAGAGCTGTACTGCTATTCTACTCCCCCAACTGCAAATTCTTGATTTGGGATTTTAGGCTATACAAAATAAATGAAAATGAAAAGCAGAGTTTCTGCATTCTGCCACAGATGGCGGACCACCTACATAATATCTCACTATTTTCCACTTTCAAAATGTCACCAGGCTGTCAAAAACCCAAACCCAGCCCCCTCAACACACCCGCCTCCTCCTCTTAATAACATTTTATTCAAACTCTCCTTTCGCCCCCAGTTTCACGATAAGATGGACCCCCTGTTGGAGACCCTGGAAGGGGCGGCCCAGCGGCTGCGGCAGCCTCCCCCCGTGGCGGCGGAGGTGGAGAAGATCAGGGAGCAGCTGGCGGAGCACCGAGCCCAGGGGCTGGAGCTGGACAAACTGCTGCCGAGCTTCTCCGCCCTCTGCGCCCGCGGAGAGGAGCTCATCAGGCGGGCCGCTCACAACGACCCGGCCGCTCAGGGTGAGAGTCCGGATTGCACATGTGGAGGAGGATCCAATAATAATAACAACATTCTAGACGGGAGGCAGGCCAACCGGTCCGTGCGTTACAACAGGAAGAAGCATTGACACTCATTTCACTGATTTATTCACCCGTGAATCTCTTGATGAGCCAAATAAACTAACTAATCAGACACACTACCTCTTGTGTGTGACAGTTGGAACGGCACTGGCTTTAACTGGAACATTACACAATCAGGCGTAACAGACATCACAAACATAATCTGGACACAACTATAATGTTCTTTCTGGCTCCAGTCCAGTCAACCGGCCAGCGTAAGTCAATGTGTGTGTGTGTAAGGGCAGACCTTGTCGAACTATGAAATGCAATGAGTCGCTGCCTGTTTCTTCCAACGTTACCACGTGGTTAGACAACCAACACACACACACACACACACACACACACACACACGTCTTTGTTGTATTGACCTCCAAAGGACTCCAGCCGTCCACGCTTTGTGAAAAGAAAAGGCCTCTCTGTGCAGAGTTAGTGGGAGCGGCGTGTGAGACTAAACTTCAAACAAAGACAGCGTTATTATTAATCGTCTTCACGTGAGATAAAGACTAGCCAAGTGCCAGTGGGATCCCACGCTGTTCTCCAGCAGCCTGTTTAAACTACTCCTCCCTCCTCCAGCTGTCAGGACCCGCCTCCTGCGCCTGCGCTCCCTGTGGGACGAGATCCGGCAGCGGGCCGAGGAGCGGGAGGGGAAGCTCAACGACATCTTTGACCTGGCCGGGAAGTTCTGGGCCGACGTGGCGGCGCTGCTGAGCACGCTGCGAGACTCCCAGGACATCGTGAAAGAGCTGGAGGACCCCGGCGTGGACCCGTCGCTCATCAAGCAGCAGATCGAGGCTGCTGAGGTACGGAGGAGACCAGCTCATCTATGTGTTTGGGGCGGTTTAAGCAACTCAACGCGACATCTCTCTGTCCTTTCACTAGGCCATTAAGGCCGAGACAGACGGCCTGAGGGAGGAGCTGGAGTTTGTCAGGACCCTCGGAGCGGACCTCATCTTCGCCTGCGGAGAAACCGAGAAACCTGAAGTCAAGAAGACCATCGACGAGGTGAGACAATCGACACCAAGTTGTTTTGCTTCCGCGCCGCTGCATGTCGACCCGCTAACGCGACTTCCCGTCCGTCTCCCAGATGAACGCCGCCTGGGAGGGCCTGAACCGGACGTGGAGAGAGCGGATGGAGCGACTGGAGGAGGCCATGACGGCGTCCGTGCAGTACCAGGATGCACTGCAGGTTTGTGCATCAGTCGGCCCGCGTTCATAGTTTGACTGGACTGGTGTCTGGTATTTGTGACAAGTGATGCAAATATTGCCCTGTTGAAGTTGACTCAGTTCTTTCTGCGTTTTTTCCAGTCCATGTTTGACTACCTGGACAACGCAGTGATCAAGCTGTGTGAAATGTCAACTGTGGGAACCGACCTGGGAACCGTCAAACAGCAGATAGAAGAGCTCAAGGTGGGCAAGAGCACCGTTATCCAACACAAATTTAAGTTACCCCGTGATGAGATATTTCTGAAGTACTAACAAAGCACTTCTCCTCTTTTCGCTCTCCCCGAGCAGCAGTACAAGGTGGAGGTCTACCAGCAGCAGATTGACATGGAGAAGCTGTGCCACCAGGGGGAGCTGCTGCTGAAGAAGGTGTCGGACCAGACGGACCGGGACATGATCCAGGAGCCGCTGATTGAGCTCCGACACCTCTGGGAAAACCTGGGGGATAAGATCACCCAGAGACAGGTGAGAAAGCCCCATGTGGCAGGGGGGAGGCCGCTGGCTTTCTCTCGGGAGTCTTTGTCAGCGTTCTGGAGGATTGCATGTATTTGACAGCTGTTTCTCATTATAGCCCAAATAGTTCAGTTCCTATTTTTAAGCCTGAGCCAGTGTCTCTCGTCCACCACAGCACAAGCTGGAGGCCGCCCTGCTGGCCCTGGGTCAGTTCCAGCATGCCCTGTCTGAGCTGCAGGCCTGGCTCAACCACACACACACCACTCTGGACACGCAGCGACCAGTCAGCTCTGACCCCAAGGCCATCGAAATCGAGCTGGCTAAACATCACGTAGGTCCACGTTTGTTACCAACTGAAAAATCAAAAATGCCTTTTCCCGTGTGACTTATTCGCGTTGGTCCAGTTGAAATTGTAAAGTGTTTCCTTGAGATTGTTTGGCTGTGTTTCCAGTTTGTGCTGATGACCTGTAGCCCTGACGTGGCCTCACCATCACCAGCTCTTGAACGTGAAACATTCTGATTAAACTCTTGGTGATTCCTTTTCTTTCTCCCTCCTCTGGGTCCCAGGTTCTGCGTAACGACGTTCTATCCCATCACGCGACCGTGGAGAACGTGAGCGGCGCGGGCACCGAGCTGCTGGAGTCCTCTCCCGGCGACGAGGCCAGCCACCTCAGGGACCAGCTGGATCACCTCAACCAGGGCTGGGAGAGCCTGCTGCTCAAGACCCAGGAGCGGCAGAAGCTGCTGGAGGGAGCTCTGCAGCAGGTGCAGTGCACGAATCGCAATGACAGCCACTGGCTTTTGTTTTACTTTCAGCAAATCTAAACCGAATCATTTCTATTGCGCAGGCTGAAGGTTTCCACGGCGAGTTGGAGGAGTTCCTCCAGTGGCTGAGGAGGACGGACAGCCAGCTGTCGGCTGCCAAGCCGACCGGCGGTCTCCCTGAGACGGCCAGGGAGCAGCTGGAGCAGCACCTGGTAACCGAGGACCCCTCATCCACCTTCATACACGTCTTATCTCTTAGACAGCCTTTCTGGGAGGTGAAAGGGGTTTTGTACGCATGTCCCTGGCGAGCCGTCTTATCGTCTAGGCTAAGCTAGTGTGAAAGGTACTGGTGAAGCCGCTACATTTGTATGGAGCGTCTATGACAATGGGTTCTATGGCACCCAGAAGCCTCCCTATCACACACTTCATGGTAATATCCTGTGCGGTTGGTACATGACAGCTGAATCTTCCCAACCAACCTGCGCTTACCTTTTGCGTCCTCTCCGTCTGCAGGAGCTTCATGCCCAGCTGGCCCAGCGGGCGGACCAGTACCACCGTCTGCTGGATCAAGGAGAGTCCATGCTGCTAGCTCGTGGAGGAGAAGACGCAGGCCCCGGGACCACCCAGACCCAGCAGAACCTGGCCATGCTGCAGAACAAGTGGGCCAGCTTCAACACCAAGATGGACGACCGCAGGGTAAGGAGACCTTCTTTCACCGGCTTTTCCCTCTGGATTTTTCCAACTTGTTTTGTTTATCAATTTTAAACTCTGAACCGCCTCCAGGCCAAGCTGGAAGAGGCCGTTTCCTTGGCAACAGGTTTCCAGACCTCTCTGCAGGACACCATCAACTGGCTGACTCAGGCTGAGCAGACCCTGAACATGGCCCAGTCCCCCAGCCTCATACTGGACACTGTCCTCTTCCAGATCGACGAGCACAAGGTAGCGGACGTTCGCCAAGTCACTACAAACGCAGCGGAAGATGCCTCGGCCGCTGCGTGCTTCGCTAACTCTCTTTGCGCTCCCAGGTGTTTGTGAACGAGGTGAACACGCACAGAGAGCAGGTCCTGGCTCTGGAGAAGGCCGGCTCTCACCTCCGCTTTGCCAGCCTGAAGCAGGACGTCGTTCTCATCAAGAACCTGCTGCTCAGCGTCCAGGCCCGCTGGGACAAGCTGGTCCAGAGGTCACTGGACCGAGGGCGACACCTCGATGAGGCCCGCAAACGGGCCAAACAGGTACTGAACGGGTATATTTTAGTAGACGGAGGGTTCACTGGCAACGGGAAATTGAGAGATTCACATAAACGACACTGTCAGACCGTGATGACTGATAATAAATCTAGAATGTGAACATTAGATTCCTTCGGTAAGAGATCACCTCTAACATCCTTCAGATAGTTTGTATTAAACCTCTGAACACCGAGCAGTTTATTTCATTTTTTTATTTATTTTTTATTTTGTGCAGTATAACAGTTAACATGCCTCATATCATGACAAGACAAAAAATACAAGTTGCAATTCTTGGTAGCCGTACTCAATCACAGTTTCACCGTTGCACTGGGTGTGCAGAATTTAGTTATTTTAAAGGATTTGGTTAAAACAAAAGCTGTATTAGGGCTCAGTTTTAAAGTTTTGGCAATTATTCAGAAGAAAACATGCTTTTGCATCCTGTCAGCTGTTTTGGCGGCTTAGAGGGTTGAATAACAAACTTTTTCTTCAGTTCCACGAGGCCTGGAGGAAGCTCACCGACTGGCTAGAAGAAGCCGAGAAGAGACTGGACTCTGAGCTGGAGATCTCCAACGAGCCGGACAAGATCAAAGTCCAGCTGGCCAAACACAAGGTACTTGCAAGGCAATTATCGCGCACCCCGTTTCCCTTATTCTATTCCTCCCAAACTACAAAACTATTCCTCCATTTGCTGCGCCTGAGCAGGAGTTCCAGAAAGCCTTGGGGTCCAAGCAGCCGGTTTACGACACAACAGTGAGGTCTGGGAGGGCCATGAGGGACAAGGCTCAGCTGCCCACAGACACCCAAAAGCTGGACCACCTCGTGGGAGAGGTCCGCGACAAGTGGGACACCGTGTGTGGCAAGAGCGTGGAGAGGTAAGGGGGCGGTGAAGGACGAATGGAGACACATGGACGGATGTGGACATGATAACGAACAGCCGTTTGTCTTCTCTCCTGCATCCAGGCAGCACAAGCTGGAGGAGGCTCTGCTGTTCTCCGGCCAGTTCGCAGAGGCTCTCCAGGCCCTGGTGGACTGGTTGTACCGGGTGGAGCCGCAGCTGACCGAAGACCTGCCCGTCCACGGGGATCTGGATCTCGTGTCCAACCTCATGGACTCGCACAAGGTGCGTGAACAGAAGCGTGCTGGTTAAACCGCCGCGATGACAATGATGCCGCAGAAGGTTCTGTCTGACACCACTCGCGTCCATAACCTGCAGGCTTTCCAAAAAGAGCTGGGGAAGAGAACCAGCAGCGTTCAGGCTCTGAAGCGCTCGGCTCGGGAGCTGATGGACACGGGCCGAGACGACACGGCGTGGGTCAAAGTTCAGGTTCAGGAGCTCAGCAACCGCTGGGATACGGTGTGCGCTCTGTCGGTCACGAAGCAAACGCGTCTCCAGCAGGCCCTCAAACAGGTCAGAGAGCGATCAGCTGATCGCAAACTCCTTCACCCAATAATCCCCAGGGCCCGCTCTTACCGTGGACCCGTCTCTCCATCAGGCGGAGGAGTTTCGCACAGCGATACAGTTCCTTCTGGAGTGGCTCTCCGAGGCGGAGCAGACGCTGCGTTTCCGCGGCGTCCTACCCGAGGAGGCGGAGACGCTGCAGGCGCTGCTGCACACACATCGCGACTTCATGGGAACCGTGGAGGAGAAGAGGACGGACGTCAACAAGGCGGCGGGAATGGGGGAGGGCATCCTGACCGTGTGTCACGCGGACTCCATCACCACCATCAAGCACTGGATCACCATCATCAGGGCACGCTTTGAGGAGGTAAGGCAGGGAGGAGCCTGAGGCGGAGGTTTATTCATAACATCCCTTAAATATAGTTTCCACATGTTCGATAACATAATAACACGGTAGAAAGCATTAAATGTTAATCAGCGCCTTTCGCTCTGCAGGTGCTGACGTGGGCCAAACAGCACGAGCAGCGGCTGGAGACGGCTCTGACCGAGGTGCTCAACAACGCCAACCTGCTGGAGGAGCTGCTCTCGTGGCTCCAGTTTGCTGAGACCACACTGGTCCAGAAGGACACCGAGCCGCTTCCTCAGGACATCGCACAACTCAAAGCGCTCATCACAGAACACCAGGTGGGCTTCACCGACTCATCAGGAAAAGCAAACGCGTAGTAGACGGAGTTGAAGCTGGATTAGTCCGTGCTGCCCATTAACATTTTGTTATTGTCAGATGTTCATGGAGGAGATGACGAGGAAGCAGCCGGACGTTGACAAAGTGACAAAGACCTACAAGAGGAAACCAGCTGAGGCTCCGAGCAGCCTGGCCGAGAGGAGAGGAGCCCGTGAGTCCCCCGTGTTTGCCATCGGCTCCCATTCGGTAGCGCGGGTCCATCAGATGTGACGAGGATTCGTTAACTCTCTGCTTCCTCTGCAGGAAAACAGCAGCAGCAGCAGCAGGCGGCCGTGCAGCTCTCGGGAGGAAACCCGAGGCTCAACCAGCTGTGTGCCAGGTGGCAGCAGGTGTGGCTGCTGGCTCTGGACCGCCAGCGCAAACTCAACGATGGTCTGGACCGACTGGAAGAGGTGTCCTTTTTATCAAGACAATATGATCAACTCTTTTGCCTCTTTTATACAATTTGATAGTATTAGAATGTTTAACCCTGTAAAGGCCAGTTTCTTTATTTAAGGGAACCGTTGTTTTTCAATAATATTTGTTACACTAAATGCATTGGGGGGATTTTTCATTTTCAGTCTGGTTTAAGTCAATAATTTACAATTAAATTGATTTTGCTTTTCAAACACGATACCGCCAAGATAATCCAATTAGGAAAACACATCTAGGGCAATCATGGGAAAATGGCTCAATCTGAATGGAAGATGATTTTGTGCTGTGGTTTTAATGGGTTTCAATGGGGACATTTCTTCTCCTTTGGGAACTGAGTGTCTGTATTTCGGCCACACTGCTTATTATAGACTTGTTATTGGAGCAGAGGTTAAATTCTAAAAATGGAAGAGAAGAAAACCCTTACGCCGAACTGATCACAGAACTGTCTGCGCCGTCCGCTTCCAGCTCAAGGAGTTTGCCAACTTTGACTTTGACGTGTGGAGGAAGAAGTACATGCGCTGGATGAACCACAAGAAGTCCCGCGTCATGGACTTCTTCAGACGCATCGACAAGGACCAGGATGGAAAGATCACGCGGCAGGAGTTCATCGACGGCATCCTGGCATCGAGTGGGTTGCGGGGGGACGCGCTGTTGGGGTTCATTTGCTCGAGGCGTCTTGTGTTGACCGTTGTTGTTGTCGTCGTGTGCAGAGTTCCCCACCAGCAGGCTGGAGATGACAGCCGTGGCCGACATCTTTGACAGAGACGGAGACGGCTACATCGACTACTACGAGTTTGTTGCCGCTCTGCACCCCAACAAGGACGCGTACAGACCGACCACCGACGCCGACAAGATAGAAGATGAGGTAAGAAGCACCAGTGAATGTGGAGCGGTGGAGTACGAGATGAGTACGGAGGGTGATTCCTCTGGTTGTTGCTGTGCAGGTGACTCGGCAGGTGGCTCAGTGTAAATGTGCCAAGAGGTTCCAGGTGGAGCAGATAGGAGAGAACAAATACCGGGTAAGTTCAGCTCAGTCTCTGGTTCAGATTGATGATGTTTAGAGAGCAAACGACCTGCAGTCAATTCATTGCTTTGTAAATATTGACAGACTTCGGTCAAAATGGATTTGTAAAGAATCTTGTTTCTTTGTGCTTAGATTAGCAGTATACATTTGCAGGGATTTAAACCCTGAAGTCCGTTTCTTTGGCTCCTAGTTATTAATTTGCAAAATAGAACAATTACAGATTCTGTACAGATAAAAACCCATGAGAAATTGTCAACTGTTACTTTGCAAACTTGGCCGCTTTGACCCCGATCTGATTAATGGACAGTTTATTATTAACTGGCTTCACCATTTAACCTCAACATAACTTCTCAGCATCTACTTTGTGTGTCCATCTCAAACCATGATGTCATGTTGTATTAATAACTGTCTGTATTGTATCATATCGTGTCAAGATAACATTGACATAACGAGTTAATAACTAATCTCACTGCCTGCCAGGATTTTCCGCCTTCTTTGTTATCACCAAAACATTAATAACGTGATGTAAGTGTGACTGAATAGAGCTGCTAGGATCAAAAATGTCTTGTAGTTAGAAAGTGTAAATTAAATTAACAAAACAAAATGCAAATTTACACAACAGTGCTACCAGATTTACAGGCATTTTTATCCAAACTTGGCTTATGAAGAACTGAGGTGATGGTCATGTTCAAACCTTTGTTTAAGGGTTGAAGTCTCTGAACACCAGTAAAGATCAATCACAGCCAATGCAAGTTTTAAGACCCCCGGTCCGGGGAGGCGGGGCTACAGAAGGCTCAATGGCGCCTCTTAAGGCTGATTTGCTTCTTGCATTTAGTGTTAAACGTTACAGCGCTCGTTCTTTAGCTTTAACGCTAGCTAGGTCAGTTAGCAGCACAGCTGTTCGGTGATACAAAAGATGAAACTGCTCACAAAAATGTGAGCGAGTTGTTATTTTAAATGACCTATTTCTGAAATGTATGTTTGGGCGCCACGAGTCGAGTGCAGTTTGGTTTTAAATGAGCGAATCAGTCATCTGGACAGCTGATGTCTTCCGCCCTCACACCGCTGTGCAAGAGGGAAGAAATAAATAAAAAGGAGTTGAGGGTGAACTGTATCTTTAAGCCTTGAAACATAAATCCAAAGATTGTAGGACCCTGTTGGCTAAAAAGAAACATCTTCCTCATGCAAGCCGGGTTCAGGGCTTGTTTCAATGTGTTTGGATGAAGAGGAGTCTGAACCCTGCAGTGATCTGAGCGGTCTGTGTGGCGTTCCTGCATCACTTACTGGATCGCCCATCACTCCCATCACTCCCACTGCTCCAGAATGTGTGTCCAATCCATGAGTGTGTGACTAACACTACGCCGACTACTTTGTGTCACATCTCGTCTTCATGTTTGTTGCTGACTTCACGTGTCGTCGCTGCCTTCACCTCCATCCTCCTCATCAGTTAACGAAGCACCGTGATCACATCCACAAGCGTTCATGTTCGTGCTCACGCAACTAATCCTGAGCTCAAATAACAGAAGACGTGAAGGGTTTATTGGAAACTCGTACACATAAATGGTATGGATTCACTACATGTTGGTTCACTCTGGCTCTGTTTCTTTCTCCTTGTGTTCCTGTGCTCCGTGTCTGCTGGATTTTTTGTAGTTCTTCCTCGGAAACCAGGTAAGGCGCCGCTGCTGTGATCGGATGTGTGAAATCTGCTTCCCTGTGATTCTGCTTCTTAGTATCTAATTCCAAAATGAGCTCGTGGCACAAAAGCAGAGGAAGCCGGTTTCACCGTCCAGCTGTGATTTGTTTGGTGTTATGAGTGACGGGTTGTGCATCGTGAGCCCGGCGGGACCTGCCTGCAGGGGATGTATAGTGCGCTGTGCACTGAAGCTGGGAAGCAGATCTGCATTCCCTCTGCTGGGGCTTTGCTCGGCGGTTTGTTTCCTCTACTGTTAATGATAACGCTCGTGTTTGGGTGGCTGATGGGAATCATCCGACCGTCCAGTGCATGTTCCTTCTGTCATTGCATGGAGTAGAACAGATCTGGTACCTGGGCTGCTCTGGGATGCTGTGATTCAATTCAAATGATCTATCAAATACTATTTTGATCACTGACTCTTCCTGATTCCTTCTCTTTCTCTCTCTCTCTCTCTCTCTCTCTCTCTCTCCTTTTCCTCCCTTTATATCTGCTCATTCTTCTTTTTCCTCCCCTGGTTTTCTGCTCCGTTCACTTATCAGTTCGGTGACTCTCAGCAGCTGCGTCTGGTGAGGATCCTGCGCAGCACGGTGATGGTGAGAGTCGGAGGTGGCTGGATGGCGCTGGATGAGTTCCTGGTCAAAAATGATCCGTGCAGAGGTGAGTGGGGTTCACACACACACACACACACACACACCCCTCCTTTCTCCTGCTCGGTCTCACCTTTTTATACTCACACCAGAGCCCGACTGACCATGTGTTCCTGTGGAAGTTTTTTCTTTGTACCTAAACCTTTTTAAATGTAGTGTCTTTATATCTGGTTGATTTACGACATTTTACAGTTGAGTCCATTTGCCCGTCTCCCTGCAGAGGAAGTGTCCTCGTAATGAACCTGCCTGTAGTCGCTTAATCAGCATGGATCCACCAGTTTGAAACAGGCTACATTATTAACTCGTTGTTCATTTGTGGTGGTTTTATACACATGGAGGTATAAAAATGTTTTTCCTTGGCAGTCATGCTGACCTTTCTGCTTCCAGCTTGCTACCAGAGGCCTTTTCTCTTAAGAAGAACATAGTGTCCTCAAGTGGATTGATATTAACTACTTACATTATGCCTCGTTTGTCTACAGAAAACCTCTTTTTATACAGTACTCTAACCCACTATACACAGTATTATAATACATGTGATCGTGTTTATCTATGAATCTATACTTGTTATCTTTTGTTCAAATGCAATTCGATGAGCCGTCAGAATGAGGCCTTTTGATTGAAACGCGTCGGGCGCCATGTTGGATGGTGGATATCGGTCGGCCTCTCGCACAGACGCACACTCTCGCTCTACAAACACACCGCTGGTCACATTCACAGCGGCGTGCTGGAGGGAAACACAACTCGCTAAGTGACGACGCGTGGAGCCGTCTGTCAGCCGGTGGCGCAACGAGACGCCGCCACTCGTCCCTCCGGGTCCCCCGTCAAGGGCCGTCCACATCTGGTGTCTCTGTTTCTCCCTCCATCTTTATTGCTCACGTCTCCCTGAGTTCATCCTCAAGGACTTCATCCCTCCACACCCTCTGTCCCGATTCTTTTTCTCCCCCCTCTGTCTTAATTATTCCGTTCACTTTTCAAATAAAATGGTAGTATTGCATGGTGCATGGTCCTCAGTTCTCTCCCTCTTCCTCCCCCCTCTCTTTTCCTCCCTCCCTCCCTTTTTCTCTTTCCCCAGTGCAACATCCGGGACTTAAGATTCTCCGCTCCGATTCCAGTAGCTCCATCTCATCTCGTATAGGTTGGACCTTCTCATCAATCCCTTACGCTTCCCTCTCTCCGTAACAGCCTGCCTCCTCATCTGCCCCCCTCGTCTCTTCCTGCCTCTCCTCTCTCCTCCTCCTCTCTCACTCATCTCGTCTCCTTGAGATTTGTTGAGTTTGACCTTGATCTTGTGCCTTGCTGACTGTGATCACCTGACTAATGTTATGTCTCCCCACTGTTCTGCTCTCCTGACCCCAAACCCCCAAACCCCCAGCTGTTGTTGCTCATGCAAGCTCTGATATCCTGACTTGTCTTTTAAACCACTTTTCAGGGGTCGTTGGTTGGTTGGTTGTGTGTTTTATGGTCTGTGCATAAGATAACAGCACAGTGGTGCCTGTTGGTGTGTGAGACACTTCATTTGACTGAGCATGCAGTTATTTCCCGTTTTCTCTTGTGTCTCTCAGTGACTGTCACTCCTGGCTATTTCTGCTGCCGAGGTATCTACATTTCTCTCTCTGCTGCTCTGTCACGCTGCGTCCAGCTGTCAGTCTCCATCTTTAACCACTGCTCTGCTCTCCGTGTCCATATGGATGTGTGTGTGTGTGTGTGCGCAGTTTCTAACTGGTCTAAGGTCTGTGTGTGTGTGTGTGTTTAGGCATTGATGTCAGTCATGCTTTCTTCACTCACGATCACGCAGGGTTTGGCCAACCCCCTGGTCTTTATTGTATTATACTTTTAATTAGCTTTTCTTTTAAATGTTATGACTGCATGATGAGGAATGTCTCAGCAAATAGATATAAACGTAAAACTGTTGTCTAGTCGTGTTTTCATGTTAAAATGAACATCACACGGGGGGCGGTGGGAGTAAGACCTGGGGGGCGTGGCCAGCCCGCGTTCCCAACAGCGCCGGCTTCCAACGTGGCTCCTTTAAATGCGCCGGCTGGTTGGTGGGAGACGCAATTACAGGGTGCACCTGGCTTGGATGGCGTTCAGGGACGTAATTGCAGGGTGCACCCGTCTAATTGAGCGGTCTTGCCGTTGGGTTGCCGGGGGACGAGGCCGCGAGCTGCACTGCTGCTACGGCCAACTGCAGCCTTCTTCTCCACCTTCCTCTGCCTATTTTCACTTATTAGTTTTTCTTCCATCCTTCCTCGTGATTTCCTGTCCTGTCATATTTTTGTGTGTTCCATTTCCCACTGCTGTCTCTGTCTGTCTCTCTGTCTCTGTCTCTGTCTCTCTGTGTCTCTGGCTGGCTTCTCCAGGCTTGTTGTCGTCTGCTGGGGCTGCTGCACTACTTTCTGTACATGAATGCTGTCGCGGCTCGTTTTGAAGAGGTTTTGACTCCCGCTTAGCTTAAACCGGGCCTGAGACCTGTCCAGACCCGCTGTGGACACACGGCTGAGATGCAGCGAGACGCCCAAACGAGTGGAGACCGGAGACCCTGCAGAGGAAGGACAGAAGAGAGGCTGTGCTTTTTGCTCGCACCGACCTCAGATCTTTCTTCAAATACACAATGAAAGTGTCTCCGTCACTCTGTGGAAATGTCTTTTTTGACAGACCAGGGAGACGCGTGCCATCGCTTAACGGATTGGTTCAACATTTAGGAAAAGCAGCGTGTGCCTGGAGTTCATTTCCCCTCATGTGAAACACCCGCACGCTGCTGTAATCTGTTTTCTAAAAGCTTCTAGTGACTCGCTGACATGTAGAAGATCTTGCAAGATCAATGCATCTGGAAAAAAATAATAATAATTGAATTAACAACATTAGATTGTTGGACAAAGACAAGCTTCCTGACCCAGACATCTAGAAGTGAGTCACACCGAGCGAGTGAGGAAAACCCAAATGTTGAGCTGTTCCTTTAAAGACGCAGTCGGTGGCTTTCTAATTGAGTGGTGCAGAAGAACCTCCGGCGGGCGGAGAACGTTTTCACTGGTGATGAGCGGAGGATGAGGATCCGCGGGCTTCGCTCGGTGAACGTTCGCTGCGTATCGAATGCGCTTCCACTCACACGCGGTCGCTCAGCGCTCCCACCAAGAACAACTGGACCCGCCTGCACTCACCGCCCCCTGGACCCCCCCTCCAAACATCCACCCTGCACTCTCAAAAGAAAAGTGCACGGATGCTGACGTCTGCAGCCACGGAAGCACCGACTCTCTCCCTCCCTCTGCTCGCTGCCTGTGCCTCCCCCCCCCCCCTCCCCTATCGCCCCATCGGAGGAACTGTTATCCGGCCTAGAAAGTAACTCATTGTCCTTTTCCCCGTCTGTTTCCCTCCAGCTCGCGGCCGCACCAACCTGGAGCTCCGGGAGAAGTTCATCCTCCCAGAAGGAACGTCTCAGGGTCTGGCCACCTTCCGCTCGCGGGGTCGCCGCTCCAAACCCGGCTCCCGCAACGCCTCGCCCACCCGCTCCTCCTCCTCGGCCTCCCACAGCGGGGCCTCCCTCCCCTCCGCTCCCTCCACCCCCGCCACGCCGACGGCCTCCGCGTCGTCCAGGGTAAGAGTCCGATTCGTACGCAGGTTTTTTTTTAATTTTTATTGACAGAACCTCAAAGACAACGAGGCTGTCATCCAGATGGTCCGTCCGTGTTGTTGCCAGGCAACCAGACCACATGTAGCCATCAGTAGTCATTTGTCATCCATTTAGCGTGTAAAGACATTTACTGTCAGTGTTGAGCGACTGAACACATACCGGGGACTCTGAATGTGTTTGTGTGTTTTTTGTTTGTTACACGTTGTTAGGTTGTTGTCATCCTGCTGCTGTTGTTGTTGTTGTTCAGTCACCACATCCTTAACTGCAAATTTTTATTTTGTGTTCTTGTTTTTTTTGTTTTGTCTTTCATCTTCTCCCCTCGTTCCTGTCATTCCTGCTAACCTGCCTTCAAAAAAATGTCCTCCCTGCTTTGTTGGCTTCTCTGAACCAAATGAAAACTGCAAATCAAATCATCTGCTTTTACACAACAATCCACTGCGCTGCATTTCCTCGCCATCCAACCGCTCCTCCACTTCCCTCCTTAACTCCATCACTCCTTCACTTGCTTCCCTCGTTTACTGTTTCGCCCTCCTCCTCCCGTCCTGTCGTCCTTCCTTGCTCCCTTCCTCCCTTCAGTCCTCCCACACTCACTCGCGTGACTATGCCAAGCCCTGGCTGTCACACAGTAAAACTCCAACGTCAGCCAAGTGCCACTGCTGCCCAGATCTCGGTCACGGCCACACCACTCCTGGGCACGAGGTAACACACTCACCCCACCCACCATGCTCCCTGCCCCCCCCCCGACCCCCCCCACTGAACGCGCTACTGCACTAACGCTCGCACCGGCCCACAGAAACGTCTGCTGTTGTGATGGGAAAACGCTGAAGCTGCAGCTTTAGCTGGTTAGCATGTTTGAATCCAAGGTCGTCTCTTGAGGGCTGTGAAGAGTTCCAATCCGCTTCGGTACAAATGACCTGATGTTCACAAAGACGTATTGACGCCTGTGACTTTTTCCTGATTTTCTTACTCGGTCTTACAAACGGTTACATTTTACAGTAGAAACTATTGGTTCTTTTGGATCAGAACAGTCTAATAACCTTAACTGTTAGAGACTGATGGAGCTTCGGCCTTGCTGCTTGTTTATTATTATTATGTTTTATAATACTTAACAATCCCTATTTTATGGATGGAGTCATGAATCAATAGTTTACTCCTCCAAGGTAGAAGGTGGGAGAGATGGTTAGTTTGGTTGTGTCTGTGTAAGCGTCCATCTGTCATTAGATGTGCTGTCTGTGATTCTCTTTGTTCTGCAGTGATGAAATACTAGTGTGTGTCACATGTCACAGTCACATGACCTCCGCAGTCCAGTTGTCCTTCATCTGATGACTGTTCTCCTGCAGGGGGCGCCGTCAGGGTCCAAACTAAAGAGGCCCACGTTCCACTCGAGTCGAGGCTCGCTGACTGGAGAGAACGGAGGGACGCCGCACTCCAGCAAGCCGGCACGAGCCGGTGAGCGAACCGTCACATGACGCCGTAGACTGTGTGTGGCATGTGGCATTCATGATCACTCCATTAGCTCTTTCCTCTTCACATGACACAACTGGGAGCTGTGTGACGTGGAGATGTTGGGCAGGTATAATGTTGATCAGAACCACCAATGTGACCTTCAATAGTGGAGCGAGAACATGTCCAGACGATATTTGCAGCTGGTCTGTTGAGTGGAGGTGACAGCTAATGGGATCGGATTCATCCTCTAGGGACCAAGATTGTGAGAGATCTATTAAGAAAGCTGCTCGCGTGGCTAAAGCGTGATGGTGCACTAACTCTGGACCGTCTACCCACTAGATCCCAAACGAGGGGCCTCCACAGCCAGCGGGCCGGCCAGCCGGGCCGGCAGCCGAGCCGGCAGCCGAGCCAGCAGCCGGCGCGGCAGCGACGCCTCGGAGGCATCGGAGCTCCAGGACTCCCACTCGGTCTGCTCCGACGCCTCGGACACCCCGCGCCGCCCCGGGGCCAAACCCTCCAAGATTCCCACCATCTCCAAAAAGGCCCCCAGCCCAAAGAACCCGGGGACCACGAAGAAGTAACTCCCGCCGCCGAGAAACTGGAGCAGACCCGTTTCATGAAGGGGAGGGGGGGGGACTACTTTATGACTCTTCAGTCCCAGATCCATCCACGGGGCTCACACAGTCTGTGCACTGCGACTGATATTTTCCAGCGAAGAGGAGATGAATATGATGAGTAAGTGTCTTTCTCACTGTGCTCGGTTTCCTAAACGGACTGAAAACCTGGACAAGAGGAGCACTGCCAGAGGCCGGCGGGTCGGACTGGACTCCTCCTCTTTAAGAAGCGACCCTCATTTTGCCTTCCAGTCTCCTGCTTCGTCTTTTAGAACCAAACACAGAACCGACCGGGCGCGATGCTGCCTTACTCACACGCTCGGGTCCGGATCGGACCGAGCGGCCGCTTCGTACCACACTGACACACAGACACACACGGGGAGTGGAACCGCCACAGATACAGAAACAAGAAAAGGACGTTCAAGAATAAAGAATCGCGAGTCATTATTTTTGCCTGTGGGCCGGACGCCTCAGCGATGAGTTTAAAAAGAAAATATGCAACGACCGCCATGTGGCCTCCTACGGACTGGTTGGCGAGGAAGGCGGTCAGCTCAGCAGATCCGCAAAGCGCGCGTGGAGCAGCCGAGGAGGCGGGAAACGATGCCCGACGCGCGCACACACACACACACACACACACACACACGGCGGCTGGCCTCTGACTCGGAGGGTCGCCGTGGTGACTGTGGTGACGGCGGTGTTGCTGCAGCCGAGGACAAACGCTCACACACTCAAACGCCGCAGAGCGGACTCCTCCCGACCGCTGGAACGCCGGCGTCAGCCTCGCGTGTGCGTGAGCGCGCATTTCAGCAGAGGGCAGTGTGGTTTTGTCGTGGAGAATTACAACGCGGTGACTCACCCGGCTAACGGCACGTATGATATACGACATGTGAAACCCGACGTTCGACAGCCAGCATGCACTAATCGTCTCTTCCTCCGCAGACCCTCCTTCATGTCAACGCACCCAGCCGCACACACACACACACACACACACACACTCTCTCTGACACACGGCGGTGTGTGTTACGTGTGTCATTGTTACAGGAAATGATCGAGGTCGTCGACTTGAGTCACTGTATGCAAAAAAAAAAATGAATTTGCGAATGTGAGTTTTGTTTTCTGGTTAATTTATAATCCAGTTGTACTTTAATTTAGCTTGAAAGAAAAATCTATTTATTTTTCAGTGTCATGTCATATCACCTTTCGCAAAGAGATTTAGTATTATGGTTATTGTGTTTTTTTGTACATCACTCACTCGGTTTCTAACCCTGGTGGCGGCCTTCTGCTCATTTTTCTTTCGTTTTGCTAATGACTACAATTCCCAGACCACGACCAAAGGGTTCGCCCTTCAAGTCTAGAGAGAACTAAACTTTGTGAGTGACAGGTGACCCTGGGCAGATGGGACCAATGAGAGCAGGTTTCCTCCCTCATGTCCCTCCCCCACGTCCCCCCCCCTCTTCTTCTAGGCTCTTTTTCAAATGCCGAGTTGTCTCAGTGTGATCTCAGTCTAAGAGATGAAGTTTATGAAAAACAAATGAAATTACAGTAAGAAGACATCTTAAGGTGATTTTTATTTATTTATTGTGTCTGAGGGGGGGGGGGGGGGCTGTTGATGCTGCGCTACTGTGTGATGGCGACCTCACGGAGGGAGGGGTGTTAATGACACAACGGTGTAAAACTAAAATTATAAACATGTTTTGTTCTGTTTTTGTATTAAAAATATGCTTGCAATAAAACCCTTTTGTTTCTGAGTGCGTCTGTGCAAATATAAAAACCACTCGTGGTGTGTGAACGTGTGAATGCTGTTTGTCACATGTTGATATTTGAATTGTTCGTGTTTGAAGTTAACATGATTTCCTTTCTCTAATCGAATCATTTAGTTAAATAGTTCCGCGTACTCGTGTTCATTGACTAAGTGAAACGTGGATGTGGACTCAGCGGCTTTTTGTCTTAATGCTTTATTTATTTACAGAATGGTCAGTTGCTTTTATAAACATTTCAAATATTTGAATGGTTAGAAAGAATGTTTCACGTCTTGTTCAACTCTCTTCTCCCCATGATTGTTTGCGAGTTCTCACATTGCACGTGTGTCCTGTACTCGTGGCAGCAGAGCGCAGGAGGACTCTGGGTAATTACCCGGGGGGGTCGGCGCTCATCCGTCCACTTAGACACCGGGAAGCTGCCGGGGGTTGAAAGGCTTTCTAATAATTAAACACCTCTAATGTCTGGTTCCGTCTGTGTGAGACAGACTGGAAATCACTTCCGTCCCGTTGACTCGGCGGTGGGACGATGAGGTCCGAGTCCCCCGCGCGCAGCTCGTTTTCGGTCCAGCGGTCGTCCCGGGCTTCCCTCTGCGCCTGTAAGTTCATTTCTCAGCTGGCTGTAACACACACGCGCGCACACACACACACACTCTGTGTTCTTTCACCGCCTCCACATTATTGGACATAAACTCCCCAAGTCGCAGACACGCAGAGGAAGGGCGAACGCGGCGGGCGGAGGCTTCATTCCTGCATTCGGGACTCGCCCTTTCACCGGGAGACGCGTGGTCACGTCGGTTTGAGTGTTCAAGCCTTTCAAAGTGACCACAAGCAGCCGAGGAGACGAGGGCGCCAACACGGGCTGGGCCTCGCTACTATATGTGGATCACCGGGGGAGAGGGGGGGGAGAGAGGGTGAGGGGGGGTTATCAGTATTTGCTTGGGATCGTCACGCGTCTCAACCGATGACAGCATTTGGGGGCGGGCCTTAAGACGCGACAGGAAAATAAAAAAAGGTGATTTTAACCCTCGGGGACAACTGAACATAAATTATTGGTGCATAAATATATTATCAATCATCCATAAAAGGAACGTGTTCATACTGGTACAAGTTCAGAAATTTAATTAATTTAATTTAGGGTTGTAATTGCTGTTGGCGAATTCTTTGAGCTCCCAGAACTAATAAATGTCACTTTATTTATAAATATATATATATATAGATATATATTATATATAATATATATGTATATTATATATAATATATATAGATATATATTATATATAATATATATAAAGTAAGTCTTGTTAAATTGTATAGTACTTGAATAAATGTACTTTGAAATTACTGATCGAAGTAAAGTAAATATGTCAATGAACATCAAAAAGGGACCAAAAAATGGAGGTTTTTCTTTGCTTACATTACATTTACAGCTAATTAGACCGTAGCAGACTAATAAGTTTATTTCAAAGATGTGGAAGTTATAAACATAACTTCACCGTGTCAACTTGAAGATTTTTCCTGGATCCAATGATTTCATGTATTTCTTTATAAAATATATTTATTTATTTCTTTATATTTATATTTATTTATATATTTATTTTAGAAAACACCTTTTAAGTGGTGTTAACCAGAAGAGGAAGTTTGTTTTAGTTCAGCAGTAAACATTTAGTCTGCTAAGATGACAGAAATAGGGAAAAAATGAAAAGTAAATGAATAAAGGATTGATTTTTTCCCTGACTGCAGGTTTTACTGGCTTACTGTAGGTTCAAGGAGAAGTTTACCTCTCGACTGAACAGTTATTCACGTCCACAGAGGAAAAGGAGCCACTCTGAACCTGCTCCGTTTAACGCGAGCACAGAAGGAACGAGGCGTCGGGCCACTGCACATCTGAGCCGCTATGAAAGGAAGCCGTCATCAGAGGAGGAGGTGAGGCAGAGGGACGACGTCCCCCGCAGAGACCACTGGGAGGGGTGGTGATGGGACGCAGGCAGGAGAGAGAAGGACATGAAGGGCGAGAGGCGGAGGCCAGGAGGGAAACTCCCCCCCCTCCCCCCTTATGAACAACGCTTTCCCTCTCTGAGCTCCACACGGGACGCACGCGCTCTGCTGCACGGCAGCCGCCACTCGTTTGAGAATAAACCCAAGGATTTACAGAGGGGGACAATCTGGAGGTATTTCCCTGGGAAGGACATCTGGAGCCTCGGGGGCGGGCGGGCGGGTGGGTGGGTGCGGTCTGGCCTGTGGATGGATGATTAAACACAGTGATGACTGGATAAAAGCTTCCAGCACGGGCCGCTCCACAGGAAGTAGCTCGCCGAGCGTCGACAAACTGCAGGTGTGAACTTTTTCTCCCGGTGAGGATCGGGAGGAAAGCCGATGACCGGGCTCTCCGGTTCCCCTCCGGTCGGGGGCACCTGCTCATCAGCCGAGCTGCTTTCCATCCACCGAGTCCACGACTTCAAAAGCGCAGACGGGTCGACCAGTTTGTCTGTGTTCAAAACACTTTGGGGAGGCTTGTAATTATGCCCTCGCTCTCATTATCTCTGTTTCTCCTGCTGCACGACTGAGAGGTGAAGAGAGACGTGGATCAGAGGCCTCCGTTTTTCTTTTTCTTTTTTGTCAAGATTAGAGAAGGTAGAGGAGGGAGAGAGGAAGGCAAAGAGGGGAGGGAGAGATAAACAGAGGCAGTTGAAGGCGGTAAACAGAGCGCTCCTCTAAACGCAGCGGCACAAAGCCAGCGAGCGGAAACGCCGGAGGAAGATTCACCGTCCACAGAAAACACTGAGATTAGAAACTAAATCTGGATTTGCCGGCAGAGGAGAAGAGACGAGGACAAGGAGCCATGGACGTGTCCCACCGCTGCTCCTGTCTCTGCGGCGGGAGGAGAAGCAGGAGCGGAGTCCTCCCCCCTCCGTCCACCTCCAGGCCCCCCGGGCCTCTCCTCCCCCCCAGGAGCCTGCTCCTGCTGCTCCTCTGCCTCTCGCTGTGGAGCCAGCAGGCCGGGGCGCTGGTCCCCTCCAGCTTCAGGCGGCTCAGCGGGCGCGAGAAGAAGGAGATGCAGAAGGAGATCCTGTCCATCCTGGGCCTGCCGGGGCGGCCGCGGCCCCACCCGCCGCTACGGCCGCCCTCCTCCGCGCCGCTCTTCATGCTGGACCTGTACCACGCCATGGCCGCCGACGGGGGGGAGGAGGAGGGGAACGAGATCATCGGGACGGGGAGGTCGGGAGGGGCGGAGAGGTCGGCTCAGGTCAGCCCCGCCGCGCTGCCCACGCTCAGCACGCACACGCCGCCGCTGGGCACCGTGGTCAGCGAGGCCGACACCGTGATGAGCTTCGTCAACCTGGGTGAGTGAAGGCTCGCTGCACCTGTGGGTGGGGGAGGGGGGGGGGGGGGCGCCAAAGGGACAAACCACATTCCACACACTCGACTCACTAGTCTCTATGACCTCTATAAGTTAGTTAAACCATTAAGTCAACTAACCTGAAGGTCTGTCTGCGGGAGGTTTTTGGTCCTAAAATGTCTTATTTTGTGGTTCTGAAGAGAAGAAGGACGCGTCCTTACGCTCAGACACACATTTAGTTTTGTTCCTTCCTGTTGGTCGGGTGCTGGTGGTCAGACTGGTTGATCTGGACGGAGGCAGCTGTGTGTGTTTATGGGATGGACGTGTGATTTGTGGATCCTCGTCATTGATCGTATTGACTTCTTTTGGACTCCAGCATGTACACCACGAGAGGACTTGATGACACTATCATTTGGGTCCATCCGCTCTGTGCATTTCCACGGCCCCCCCCGACTGATGGAGGGAGATAAAAGTACACAATCTGAGTAAACGTAACTGGGAAGGATTTAGGGAATTTAACTCCTCCCGGAGGATTCTTCCTGTTTACCATTGAAATGCTCTGAGCGACGTGACGGAACCGATTACCACATAATGGCCTTAAACTATTTAACAAAAACACTCAAACAGTTTTGACTGGTTCATTCAAATCCTTTTTCAGACCAAATGTGAAACATTTGACTGGTTCCAGCTTCCCAAACGTTAAAAAATCTTTTGGTTTTGGACCATTTGCTCCACAATCAATCAACCGCGGTAAATGTAATTGATATTTGCTTGTGTAAATAATATTGTTAAACGTTTCCACCCAGATCCTGTGTGTGTTTGTGCTTCTGGCCTGACTGATAAAGAGGAAACATCCTCTTCTCCATGGCTTCCTTCCTCCAGCTCCTCTGGTATGAAGCCATGTGCCCCGTGCGAAGCGTCTGCTCTCTGATCGACCCGTAAAGGGATCAGTCGACGCTGCAGACCACACGTCGGCCTCCATCGGCCCCCCGTGTGCATTTGCATTCAGTCATGTAGTTTTCTCACTCAGTAAGTGGTTATAGAAACTGCAAAAATATGTACTTTACTTTAAGTGAAAGTTCTCCATTTAAAATTCTTTAAATGTCGAGATATTTCTGGGTTATAATTGTGTATTAATGTCACATAAATTGAATATTGCGCTTGGTTATGGTTGAGCTTATTTAAATAAATCAATATACTTTTTTGGTTTCTTTTCTTAATATTTTGTATCTGAAACGTAACAAATGTTCAAATAAATGTAGTTCAGGAAAAAATGTAGTTTAAAGTATAAAAATTGAGTAAAGCTGTACAGCAGTGAATCTTTGATCTCCTGCAGACACTTTATCTTGTCTCTAATCCGTGTGTGTGTTTCATGAGTTGAATCGAACAGTCAACAGTCACGGGTGTGAGTTCCTACGCAGCTGGTTAGAAGAAGTAAAGGTCCCACGACTCAAAGCCAGATGGAAATACTGCAGTGGGGGACCGACTAAAAATACCAGCAGGGCTGCAATTAGTGGTGTGTGTGTGTGTGTGTGTGCGTGTGTGTGTGTGTGTGTGTGTGTGTGTGTGTGTGTGCGTGTGCGCGTGCGCGGAGCAGCAGCTGCTGTGGTTCAGGGCACAAAGTGTCTCTAATTACTGCTGTGTGTGTGTGTGTGTGTGTGTGTGTCCACGCGCTGATATGACTACACCCAGACCAATGTGGGTTTCATCTCTCTATTATCTCTATTTATTGTGTGTGTTTTGTGCTTTCTCCCGCTTATTTTACATATTGTACTCCCCCCCCCCCCCCCCCCCCGGTTCTTTTTGGTGGGAATAAACTCACACAATTACACTTTTTACCAAATATGCTGCTGTGAGGATTAACAGTAAAACGCGCTACTCTGGTCAGTGAGTCAGTGATTGATTACTACTGTCTGAGGGATGAAGCTTAACGAAGCTTAAAGAAAACACTTTGTAGTGAACTGTTTCCCTGACATCTTCTGCCCCCCCCCTCCCTCTCTGCAGTGGAGCAGGAGCGAGACCTGCTGCAGCCTCGTCCGTACTGGAAGGAGTTTCGTTTCGATCTGACCCCCCTCCCTCAGGGCGAGACGGTGACGGCGGCAGAGTTCCGTATTTATAAGACGCTGACGATGGGCCAGCGGGCCAACCGAACGCTGCACATCTCCGTGTACGAGATCCAGCGCGAGAGCCGACACAGGTCCGTCCCCCCCCCCCTCAGGGTCATTGTCATGATTTTGAAACAGAACACAACATGTTGTCATACTTGGAACCACAAAATGGCACCACGAGATCAGAGATCAGCTGTGACCTTTCTGATGATCTGGCTCACAAGTCTTTTTCTAATTTTTCTAATCTTCCCATAACGTAGCATCCAAATGTGTTTTTGTGTCCGTCTAGTATTTCATATGAGTAATTAGCTTGATTCCAGCAGTAAAAGTGCATCTCTCTTAGTAGCTGTTGGATCCAGCTGACGTGATCTTCTGCCTTTGGTCCAGAGAACCCGAGCTGGTGCTGCTTGACATGCAGTCGGTGCCTGCGGGGCAGGAGGGCTGGCTGGCCTTCGACGTCACCTCCGCCTCCAACCACTGGCTGCTCCACCCACGCAGCAACCTGGGGATACGTCTCTACGTGGAGACAGAGGAGGGTGGGTACCTGCCCCCCTTTCTGATGGGTCTCATGTAACTTGCATCCAAATGAGTTCTAGAGCTAAATAATTACAATCATAATCCTACCGGTATCTCTAACCCGCCCCCAGACCGCTCCCTGTCTGCAGGCTGGATCGGCTTGGTGGGCCGCAAGGGCCCCCGCTCCAAACAGCCCTTCATGGTGACCTTCTTCAGGGAGAGTCAGGTCCCGTGTCGGCCGCCTCGAGCCGTCAGGCCACACCCCCGCAAGAAGAAACCCAAATCCGACCTCCCGGTCCCCAGCATCCACAGTGAGGGGACGCGTCACGTCATTCTATTGGGATTTAAAAAACTACTTTGGATATCAGAAAATCACCTGTATAAATATAATTATTTTGAATTGCTTCACTATTCTAACACTGAAATATTCACTTTGATCGTAGCAAACGTTGTTTTCTTGTGGCTCAGATCGGAGTCCCGTGAACAGCGGAGGTCAGGCCTGCAAGAAGCACGAGCTCTACGTCAGCTTCAGTGACCTGGGGTGGAAGGTCAGCGCTCACCGTCCCTTCGTTTTAGTGTTAATCGCTACGGCAACACTCGCTAGATTACCTGCACACTGTAAAGGTGTTACGTTGAAATCCATTCATCAAAAGTCATTTTAAAGTCTAACATACTATACAATGACTCAAATGTATTGGATAAACAGTAATTATATAATATGTTGAAATAAGTATTTTGTAGTGACACTGATCTGATGTGTGGTAACTCCTGTCAGTCACTGATGACATGTCATCTCTCAAACGTAAATGTGTGTCAATGAACATGTCGGTCCATCAGAATGACAAGTCCTCGTGTCATTGTGTACGGACCACACAGTCAAAGTGCTGAGTCATGTTGTCAGTGTAACAGTGTCCTCTGGATCTAAACTGGCTAAAGTTTTGATGACATTTACTCTAAAAAGTTACACTTGTGTGTATTTGGATAATTTGATTGCTGTTGGGCCACAGATTCTCATCCACATCACATTGAATATCGTCGCTTGCGATGCAGCGTGGAAAGAATCTTTTAGTGTCTTATCCAGCCTCTGCTGTGATGTCATCACACGCTGCATCCAGAAGGCTCATCTGTGTACGTGGCTGGAGATCACATCCATCTCCACGCTGAGAAAGATGCTCAATGGGGTTAAGGAATGGGGGGTAGAGTGAGAGGAACGCCATCAGCTGCCGCTTGTGGGTCGCAAACCATTGCTTCAAACGATTACATACGTTGGCAATTCATCTCCAATCTGACCCTCTTGTTCGGGGATGAGATCCCTGTAGAGAGTAAAAGGACTCTGTGTTGTTTGGCTCTTATGTCCTCAGACTCTTCTTCCCCGTTGACCCTGTTCAATTCCTTGTCCTTCCATCGTGTTGTGCTGAGGCCAGATGATGGTCCATGAGATTTGTTTGAGAAAGTCCAAAGGAAATATGACAACTTGTTCAGCCATTTTGCATGTAGACGTATGTGATGAACTAAAGCCTAAATGTTGTGGGCGGTGAAACTATTCAACAGACCCATTATAATGAATTTTGCTCAACATGACATAAGCAATTAATGTAGGAAAACTCTGAATTGTACATAATCATTTGCACGGATGTACCAAAGCGACTGAGAAAAACTGTAGAGGCTCTTTGAGCAGACAGAACGGCCCGTTCCCATTATATTGATCCTCCTCCATAGATTAGAGGTTTTGCCGATTCTGCCTTTAACCACGTTTGTGTCTCCCGGCCCAGGACTGGGTTTTGGCCCCCACTGGATATTCAGCTTACTACTGCGATGGAGAGTGTTTTTATCCTCTGGGCTCCTGCATGAACGCCACAAACCACGCCCTCATCCAGCAAGTGGTCAGTACAGCGATGACGCAAAACGTCTACACGCAACTAAACTAGTTTTTTTTAGAACTGCATCTGGAATTTCCTACTATTAACATTAGAATTTGCAAACCCTGGACCCTACGGCAGTATCAACAGCTCCGTGACCGTTGTGTCCCTTGCAGGTCCACCTCCTGAAGCCCGACGAGGTTCCCAAGGCCTGCTGCGCCCCCACCAAGCTCAGCCCCATCTCCGTCCTGTTCTACGACGACAACAACAACGTCATCCTCAAGAAGCACCGCAACATGGTGGTGAAGACATGCGGCTGTCTATGAGACACATCCGGATGCCACTCTGGGGGAGTTTAACTCTAGAAAGAAAGTGGACTTCTGGTGGGAGGAAACGTTCAGACGTTGGCTTGCACTACTCGGCCTAATAAGTATTTAAAGCCAGTTCAGTGTAGAATTACAATTGAAAGGCTCCCGTGTCCATATTAACAGGACATTCTGCATAATGGGAGTCCTTCAGCATAACATTTTAAATGCAGGGCTAATTTGTAACTTTTTACATGTCCGGTAAATAAACTGCCACTTATTGTAAAGACATTTTCACTTGATTTATGAAACCATTGCAGGACAAAATTATTCCATCTCGCCATGCTCACAGAATGAGACGACCAGTAACGTAATATACATTGTTTCATTTATTGAAAATGGTTTAAAAAAAAAACAGCAAATGTGTTTATCTGCAAGTGACCGAAAAGGGGATTAATCATCAGGGCCAATAACTAAAAACCAAGTCTTCAGTTTCATTGAAGGATGATTTAGAATCATTTGGGGTTTCTTTAACGTGAGGTACTGATGCACACCTGCAAAGCTGTCGAGTCTTTTTGGATGGTATTTTTCTATAGAGGGTTTGCCCTGATGATTACCTCTACAAGTGAAAGTGATCACTCGGCTGTTGAGTCCCTTGTCAAACCCTTTTACAGCCAACGTTATCAAAGATATGCATGCACATTTTGGTTATATAAGTGACATTTTGCCCCGGCCATCCAGAACGTTAGCAAACTAAACATTAAATATCTCACGACTTGTAACATTACACAACATGTCTGTCCAATGCAGGATATGCACTCATTAAATAGATCGACAAACAGAACTATGTGCGCACACTTTAGTCATCGTTTGTATAAAGTTGGTTTTAAATGTGAAATCTATCTCTAGTTGACCACATATTCAAAAATAGTTGTCCTTTTTCAGGCAGGTCCCCTCCCCCATGTGGAATAGCAAGGTAGTTGTACATAATAAATATAAAAAATGGGGTGCTGGTGTACTAGGTGCCCCGTCATTGATGTTCTCTTACACAGCACGTCCATGAACGCCGACGGGTGCCAGTCGTCATCTTTCAGGTTTAGTCCGTGGTCGGTGTTTATCTGTAAACAACAGTTAGTGGAATGCTGTGACATTAAGAACATTTCTCCCGTTTGCTGGTATTGTTTCATCTACGCTGGATTTCCTACAAATGGCACCAAGGACACATTTTATTCAACGGAGCGTTACCGGTTTGTATTGAATGGTAGAGGAAACAATGCCGGTGATTGTGGACGTACATCCCACTCACTGCTGTAGACAAACTTTGTATTAAAATGGCTTTAGTTTACCAAGTAATCAATGCACTGAGTTAGGCTTGCATACTTTTTGCAAAACAAAGTGGTCTAAACTTCCCTAGAAGCTGTGATTGTACAGAGTACAGCCCTAATGAGAATTGATACAACACAATCACTTCACGGAAAGTTATACTACACGTTAACTCAGTCAACTTTTAATGGCGTGGTGTGACGGAATCTTCTTCATCACTGTACTAAGAAAAGGGCCTTTTCTAACACTAGTAAAGCAAGACTGTTCCACCAATTCACCCCCGCAAATGTTTTAATTGATTTAAATAAATTGCACCGTCTATTAGGCTTTGAGCTCACCAGGTCCAGTCCGCGCTTGTTCTTCATGCCTGAACATCAGCCAGCTCAGGGGGCATCGGGGACTTGGGGTGTTTGCTCTCAAAGTGCTGCTTGAAGGTTTTGGGGTCGGGCATTTGTGTCTAAAAAAACCAAACAGAGAATCCTGCTTTTAATGTGTTATCTTGAGCTGTCATTTATGTTTTCACACCAACATTGTGGTCATTAAATGAGAAACAACCACAATATGAAATGCAATCCATAACAAACAAGTCAGTTATTTTAGTGCGGCTGGACAAAATCTAGCGTGTCTACAGTGATCTGAGAACATCTACACAACTGCGGCTGCTAAAATAAACCCGTATCTACTTATATTTGTCAGAAAATGAAATATGAATTACTTTAACATTAAAAAGGGACATTTCCCACACAAACAAGACTAGCTTTCACAATGCTTATATGAAATTCACAGTATTGTGATCTGAGGTTAAATCCACACTGGATGAAGGCAGCATCCATCATTAACACTCACAATCCCAACTAAATGCATGGGTGTAGGGCTGCACATTATACCGGTTCAGCGCCGTAACAGAGTTTATTTTTTACACGTCATTGAGGAGCGCCGAGCGGTCGGAGCTACTCGTCTTAACGTGTGTCGAGATGAAGTCATGAGTGACACAAACAATGTGTAACGCTAATAATTGTACATTTATAAAAATCACCCCGCCGAACTGCATGCTGGGTACAGCTCACAACAAGAACTGTTGCTACATGAAAACCCAGAAAAGAGCGATACAGGAGGAACAAGGAGACGACTTGTGCCCAACAGAGGAGCCGTTTCTGTCTGGAGGGTTTTCGGTTTTGGAAAATCCAACGCAAGTTACGTTTTAGATCAGAAAACTATTTATTGCCGTCTAGCAGCCACAACAAGCTGGCCAATGAAATAATGTGTTTACTTGAAAAAGCAATAGTCACATACCATCAGAATCTTTCTAAATACTGTGATATGGATTTTTGGCCTAATCGGGTGAACGAAACGCTTTAACGACGCATTTGATGTAAACTTGAAAAATGTAGTCAATGGCCGAACATTTGAACAAACGACAGGAGAACCAAACACAGTAGCTAACATTCACACACTGTAGCTACAGGAGCAACGTTGGGTTAAGTGTCTTGCCCAAGGACACATCGGCATGCGGGTTAGCCGGGCCTGGGATCGCACCGATTGGAGGACGACCGTGCTCCCCACTCACCCACAGTCAAATCCAAATATTTAGGATGGAATTGTGTTTGGCATAAGTGTACAATAAGTTAAGTAAAACTTGTCTTTAATCAAAGCAAGTATTTAAATACAATTATTAAAGATTCACAATTTTTGACAGATCACATTGACTTTGGAATGCTTGGGATTCTTCCATTGAAAATAAAAAAACACAGGAATTCATCAGCCTCAATAAATAACAGTCACATCATTGAAACCTTGGAAAAAGTAGACCGGATCCCAAATGGGATCAGCAGGTACTCACCCTGCAGACCGGACAGGTGTGGACCAGCGCCGCCTTGGCTGCAGTCTTCTGGTCAGCAGCCGTGCCCTTCTTCTTCTCCGCTGCCTTCTTTGCGTTCTTCTGCTGAGACTGAATCTTCTGCTGCCCACGAGCCATGGCCCTCAACTTTGAACTACCGGAATAATAAAATCATATAAAGATCGTAGATCGCACACACACATCAGTACACAACGTGACACATTATGTTCTAGCTAAATGCACGGTGGAATATTGACAACAGCAGGTACGTTTACAGTGTGATGGGTCCGAGTGATGAAGTGTGAATTTACACAGTGAGAAAAAACAAAACGATCATACAAGAGGATGGGGTTTTTGAAGCAATATCTAGATTTTGGCATATACCAATTCAAATAGGATTATTGGTACTTTCCCACAATGTTGAACTACATCAAGCATCTAATTTGTGTCAATTATTCAGCCCGGACGATAAAATCAATGGTAAAAGACGACGTGGACACAGCTTTTGGTCAGAAACTGCAGAAACACGTGATTTGGGCTGTGCTCATTGAGCAGGACATCATGTTATAATGCGCAAACATCGACACAATGAATGAACCTCTGTGCGGGACTCCTACACAGAGCCCACCCGGCTGCTCTGGGATTCACGTCAAATGGAAAGCAGACTTTAAATGTGGCATTAAAATAAAAACACCGACTGGCTGTACGATGTAGATTTTGGGGGGTAAGTAGAGACTCGACTTGTTAAGATGTTTTACCTCAGAAGCTGGAAAGCGAATCAAACACGCTGACGTTGCGTTATGATACAACTGCTGAGCGCAACCGCGGCGGTCATTAATAATACAATCACGAGTACCTTGACACGCGTACGTGAACGACTAGAGAGCACGAGTCACCAAACGAACCGTCACACTTTAAATCCCGACTTCACACCGTTAGCAGCTTTAACATTAGCTCGCGGTTGTTGGCCGTCGCGCAGAACCTCCGTTGACGTGTGATTAGCACAACTCGTCCTGCACCCGACAACCGTTATTTCCTCTTATTTGTAAGAGGTGTCATTCACTGAGTTGTTGTAGAACATATTTGCTAAACGTAACTTAAAGCGTCTAGCTAACATCAGGCGGCTAGCATCATCCAAACAGGCCTTTAGTTGACCGGCACCGCCTCGCCGACGCGGATAGCTTGAAGCTAGCGAAGCTAACGAAGCTAACGGCGCTCGTGAGTCCGAGTTACGACGCAGCACGATGTTGTGAGAACGTAAAGAACATTTAGAACGGTTACAAATGACGCCTGTTCAATGACGATCAACGAATTCGTTTAGAGGCGGATTTACCTTCGAGCTTGGACTCTTTGCTCTATTGTCGGTGTATTTTTTTTTTAAACCAGTGAAACGTCAAAGAAGCGTTTTAGGCGTCGCGTCCAGTTAAAATGTGCTGCAGAGTCGAGCAGCGCCGCCAGCAGGACCGGAGCCGAACGGCAGCGTCTCACGGCTCAGAGGCCGCAGCCAAACCATCCGCCTAAAAGCAAATACTATCAAATAGTAAAGGACACAAGATTATCAAACCTGCAGTGAAAGTGACGGCCCTTGTATATTCAGAATGCTTGATTTTCCTACAACCGCGCAAAAAAACGGTGACAAACTAAATCAAGAGTTTCTTACAGAAAAACTCATGAGAGAACAACAAAATATGAGATGAAGGGTTTTTTTTGTCTAACATCTGGATCGGTCATTCGTCATCTGACAGACTGCACAAAAATTAATTTAACAGATTTCTACATTACGCTTAATTTAAATCAATGTTGTGGTTGCAGTTTCTTCTTTATACGTGTGTCTGCAGCAGCTGCCTCCTCTGCAGGTTCTGTGCTGCTCAGGAAAAGGAAGTCAAATTGCAGCTGACAGAAAAGATCTTTTTTTTTAAATTGAAGAATTAAATTCATACTCGATTATGGTTTCTATATTGTTTTGCTTTTTCTTTCCCTGTGTGAATCCCTTAATATGGAGATGTATGAATAAAACCATAATAAAGCCAAGTCACTGGTTCTGCCCCACACCCATTTACATGATTTAAATCAAAGGTAAAAAGCCAAAAAGTTCAACAAAATAGGTGAATTAAAGTGGTACTTTTAAACATATGTCATTTAAAGCTCTGTTAAAGCTCTTAAATAATTAAAGTGTCTGAAGACACCAGGACCACAGAGAGCCTTCACACCTTCCGCCGCAAACTAAAGACACACCTCTTTAGACTCTACCTCCACTAAAAGTAGCACTTAAATTGTACTTGTAACGTCACTCATCTATAGCAAATTGTAAATTGGCTTATTTGAGGAAAATGCACATTCTTGTTTCTTGTTCTTCTGAGTTTGTACCCTATGGTTGAATGCACTTATTGTAAGTCGCTTTGGATAAAAGCGTCAGCTAAATGACATTTAATGTAAGACCATGTCATCATTGGTGTATTGATCAGTTTTAAACACGCATATGTTCTCCTGCTTCACCAGAATCCAAACTCTTTTTTTACGAGTGTGATAAATGTTTTATGTATTTCTCATCATAGTAAAACTTTGTATTTGACGGAGCTGACCTCGTTTTGAAAGTAAAAATCTTAAAAATGAATCACAAGACTAAAAAAAAAAAAAAAGTTCTGCACAGATCCTGTTGCACCAGATCCAGGATCTACGAGATGCACAGTGTAGTTGGCAGAAAACTTTTAAATTATATGTTTATACAGTACCAGTGTAGTATGGAGACACCTTCTCATTCAATGGTTTTTATTTTTCTGCATTGTAGATTAATATTGAAGACATCAAAACTATGAAGGAACACATGGAATTAGGTGGTAAAGAAAACAATGCTCAAAAGAAAATGTTTTATATTTTGTATTCTCTTCAAAAGTAGCCTTTTGCTGGTGATGCTACAACCACCACATTTCCCTGGTGGGTGCAGTGTTCTCAGGGTGACTGTTGGCTTTCCACCAGTGTTTTGCATTGAGGTCTCACCTGACCAAAGGATCTTCTTCCACATGTGGCTGCGTCTCCCACACCAAACAGGATTTCTTATCATTTACTTTCAACAGCTGCTTTTCTTGCCACTTTTCTAAAAAGGCCAGATTTGTAGAGTACATGGCTAATATTCTCCCACCTCAGCTATGGATCTCTGCAGCTCCTCTAGTTTGTGGGCCTTTTGGTTGCTTTTCGGATTAATCTACTACTTGTCCGGCTAACCCGGTTTCATACTTGGTTACTGATCCCTGAGCTGTTTGTTGTGTTGCTCTTTGGTCTTCATGATGCTCTTTTCTCATTAATGCTCTCTAACAAACTGAGGCCTTCACAGAACATCCATCCATCCATTTTCAACCGCTTATCCGGGGTCGGGTCGCGGGGGCAACAGCTCCAGCAGGGGACCCCAAACTTCCCTTTCCCGGGCCACATCTACCAGCTCTGACTGGGGGATCCCAAGGCGTTGCCAGGCCAGTGCAGAGATATAATCTCTCTACCTAGTCCTGGGTCTTCCCCGGGGCCTCTTCCCAGCTGGCCGTGCCTGGAACACCTCCCTAGAGAGGCGCCCAAGGGGGCATCCTCACCTGATGTTTACTGGCTCCTTTCGACGCAAAGGACCAGCGGCCCTACTCAGAGTTCCTCACGAATGGCTGAGCTTCTCACCCTACCCCTAAGAGAGACGCCAGCCACTCTTTCGTTCTTTCGGTCATGACCCATCCTTCATAACCATAGGTGAGGGTAGGAACGAAGATTGACCGGTAGATCGAGAGCTTTGCCTTCCGGCTCAGCTCTCTTTTCGTCACAACGGTGCGGTAAAGCGAGTGAAATACCGCCCCCGCTGCTCCGATTCTCCGGCCAAACTCACACTCCATCTTCCCCTCACTCGTGAACAAGACCCCAAGGTACTTGAACTCCTTCACTTGGGGGTAAGGACACATTCCTACCTGGAGTAGGCAATCCATCGGTTTCCTGCTGAGAACCATGGCCTCAGATTTAGAGGTGCTAATCCTCATCCCGACCGCTTCACACTCGACTGCGAAACGCTCCAGTGAGAGTTGGAGGTCACAGACGGAAGCAAAAAGCAGCGATGAGATCCGCAGCCCCCCGAACTGTAGACTCTCCTCCCCCCGACTACGCCTCGATATCCTGTCCATGAAAACCACAAACAAGATTGGTGACAAGGCGCAGCCCAGGCGAAGGCCAACCCCCACTGGAAACGCCTTTGACTTACTGCCGAGCACCCGAACACAGCTCTCGCTTTGGGCGTACAAGGATTGGATGGCCCCAAGCAAGGACCCCCTCACCCCGTACTCCCGCAGCACCTCCCACAGTTTCTCTCGGCGGACCTGGTCATACGCCTTCTCCAAGTCCACAAAACACATGTAGACTGGATGAGCATACTCCCAAGCCCCCTCTTTGATCCTGGAAAGAGTGAAGAGCTGGTCCGTTGTTCCACGACCAGGACGAAAACCGCATTGTTCCTCTTCAATCCTTGGTTCGACTATCAGCCGAACCCTCCTTTCCAGCATCTTGGAGTAGACTTTACCCGGGAGGCTGAGTAGTGTGATACCCCTGTAATTGGCACACATTCGGTCCCAGACTTCCACGCAATGTTGAAGAGGCGTGTCATCCAAGACAACCCCCCAACACCCATTGCTTTTAGCATCTCTGGACAGATCTCATCAATCCCCGGGGCTTTGCCACTGCAGAGTTGTTTGACTACCCCAGTGACCTCCACCAGGCCAATTGACGATGATCCCTCCTCCGCCTCCAGCTCCGCCTCTACCAAAGAGGGCGTAGTAGTTGGATTCAGGAGTTCCTCAAAGTGTTCCACGGCCCGATAGCCTCCTCAGTCGCGGTCAACAGGGTCCCATCCTTACTGTACTTGGATGGTTTCCCTTTTCCCCCTCCTGAGGTGCCGGATGGTCTTCCAGAAGCACTTCGGTGCAGACCGAAAGTCCTTCTCAATAGTTACCCCGAACTCCTCCCATACTCGCTGCTTTGCCTCCATCACGGCAGAGGCTGCTGCCCTTCGAGCCTGTCGGTACACTGCAACTGCCTCCGGAGTCCCACCGGATATCATAACCCGGAAGGCCTCCTTCTTCAGTCGGACGGCTTCCCTGACCACCGGTGTCCACCACGGGGTTCGAGGGTTACCGCCCCTTGATGCACCTAAGACCTTGAGGCCACAACTCTCTGCCGTGGCTTCAGCAATGGAGGTTTTGAACATACACCACTCTGGTTCAATGTCCCCTACCTCCACAGGAATGTGAGAGAAGCTCCGCCGGAGGTGTGAGTTGAAAATCTTTTGGACCGGGGCCTCCTCCAGACGTTCCCAGTTCACCCTCACTACACACTTGGGTTTACCGGGTCTGTCCCGAGTCTTCCATCCTCTGACCCAGCTCACAACCAGATGGTGATCAGTTGACAGCTCTGCCCCGCTCTTTACCCGAGTGTCCAGAACATACGATCAGACGATACGATTACAAAATCGATCATTGATCTTTGGACTAGGGTGCTCTGGTACCATGTACACTTATGAACATCCTTATGTTCGTACATGGTGTTTGTTATGGACAATCCTTGACTGGCACAGAAGTCCAGTAACAAACACCCTTTCGGGTTCACATCAGGGAGGCCATTCCTCCCAATCACGCCTCTCTAGTTATCTCCATCGTCGCCCACGTGCGCATTGAAGTCTCCTAGTAGGACTATGGAGTCCCTTACTGGAGCCCCATGCAGGACTCCATTCAGGGTCTCCAAAAAGGCAGAATACTCTGAGCTGCTGTTTGGTGCATATGCACAGACAACAGTCAAGAGTTCTCCCCCCCACCACCCGGAGGCGTATGGAGGCGACCCTTTTGTCCACCGGGGTAAACTCCAATGTAGCAGCACTCAGCCGGGGACTTATGAGTATCCCCACACCCGCCTGGCGCCTCACACCATGGCCACTCCGGAGTAGAATAGAGTCCATCCCCTATCCAGGAGTGTGGTTCCAGAGCCGAGGCTGTGCGTGTGGATGTGCCTGTGGATCTGGTGGGGCTTGTAGAGGTAAGCCCCACCAGATCCAACTGATAACGCTCCACCTCCCGCACAAGCTCCGGCTCCTTCCCCCACAGAGAGGTTACGTTCCACGTCCCCAAAGCCAGCATCTGCCGCCCAGGTCTGTTCCGTCTAGACCCCCACCAGACGCTCGCTATCGGGCCCCCCATCTGGGCCTGGCTCCAAATGGGGGCCCCGGGCTTCCTCCAGGCCGGGTAACTCCCTTTTCATAGGGTCTTTTTGAACCATTCGTAGTCTGGCTTTTCTGATTTTTATTTGTAAATCATTTCGAAATCCATGTAAACTTTGCCAGACTTACTGATGGACTAATGTGTTGGTCCATTGCGTAAAATAACCAAATTCCCAATTAAGCAAGGCGCTGTGTACACAGCTGAGGTCACCACATCACTTCTTGATTTATTGGATTAAGGATTTAAATGATAGTTTTAGTAGGTTGGATTTTGGATAAGATTTAGACTTTATTAAATGATGAGGAAAGGGCTAACGGTATGAAACTAAACTCAAGTCCAGCTCATTACCGCTCAAACAGGAAGAGACTGTGCACACACGCTCACAGTTTCATCACTTTATTACAGTAAATGAGTCCATATTATACAGAACATACACAGAACAGAGACAGGCGGTTTGTGTTTCTCTCTCTCTCTCTCTCTGTATCTGTATCTGTCCCTCCATCACATCAGTCCACCGGGGCAGGAGGACACCAAAGCTAATGGCCACAGAGAAGAATGAACCACAAGTGACATCCATTTATTAAAGAGAAGCACTAATCTCCTAAATTACAACTAGCGTTTCAGAGAATTTGAAAATGAAACAAAACTATTGTTTTTCAAAAATTTGGTTCACATAAAAGATGTCTGCAAGTTGCCAAGTAGCTAACATACAAGAATGGTGTTTCTGTCACGAGACAAAAGTCAATATCTGCTCTTTTGTGACCTTGAAATGCCGTCCCGCACGCACTGTGCACCAGCAGGACATCATGTTGGGATTTTAAGACCGACTCAACACTTGAGATGAAGTCAGACACGAGACATCACTTTCTCTAAAGATACCAGAGACCTGTGGCAAACATTATTTTCTTCTTAATACTGCACAGTAATAACATATTGCAACCTGTCATCACACAAACGTTCTGTTCCAAAAGCAACTGGACTCGACGTCGGTCTGATCCTCAACTCTTGGGGCCAGAGACTTATTATTTTTCCATTTTAAAGCTATTTTAAAATCTGTAAAATTGGATCCCAGATGAGGCTACTTTAATTGAATAGAAGGGTTACCCTGACAACGTTCTATTCTATTTGAAGAACTCGTTTGATGAGGACTGAACAGCTCCCTCTTGTGAAGCCTCTGCCGCACGGGACTTTAAATGGGTCGCATAAACATTAGCCGTAGACGAGCACGTGGGAGAGCGCGGTCACGCCAACACAACACGCCTCTACACAGAAAGAAGCATTTTGGAACAGAACCTGTGAAATATTCATTCAACAGTCAGACGGACCCGCGGAGGGCCGGACAGGGAGGACTGCTGAGCAACAGCTACTTTACATTTTTCACTACGAGAGAGAGAGATCATCAACAAACATTAGCCTGATTTTTTTTTCTTTGCAGTATTTACATTCTGAATTGTGAAAAATAAAATAAACTTATTTACAAAAAATGCACAAACTAAGACTGCTTCATTGGCGGCATGAGGAGAGATAAGATATAAACAACTCTGTCATAAAAAGTAAAAAGATGAAAATAAAAATCAGTGATATTTACACGTGCGATAAGAGGGAGAGAGAGCGGGTTCAGAGGTCGGAGGGACGAGACCCCCCCACGGGGTCACACCTTTTCATGGCCACAGAGAGACTGACAGCTCTTAGTGTGAACTTCCTGCAGAGGGAATCCAACCGAGCAGTTTGGACTCTGAACAGCCCAAAAAAAAAAAAGCCGAATGAGTCCCGCAGGACTGGTGGGTGATATTATGGGTGGGGAAGAGAATGAAAGATGCTCTCCTCCAATCAAATCAATGTGAATGTGCCTAACGTGTTGGAGAAGAAAGAATGCAAATGTGAAAGAAACAGCAGGTGGAAGCATGGAGCAGTAGTATCAAATATTCTATACTACACACTTTCAAGTGGTCTGTACTGCTTACTAAATCTGTATTGACTGCTCTAACCCTAAAGACAGACTCGCAGGTGGAAAATGCTCTTCTCTTTCTGAGATAATACTTTGCGACTCGTGACCGCAGTCTGAGTTCTGCCTCAAACAGCCGTTTCCCAACTTTTGAGGGTAAAACTCAACATCAGTCCTCTCAGCGATGGAAGGAAAAGGAGCGCTCACACAGATGGCTGACAGGAAGCCCCCCCGGCCTGAGGTTGACGTTAGACTACTATTCACATTAAGCCTTCCTCTCTGCTGCGCTTCGGTCACATGTCATCACGTCTTCAGAGAAGCTTTAAAAAAATAAATTAAAAAGAATCATTCACACTGATGGAACTACGGTTGACTAAAGACCCCGAGATGCCGTGTCAAAGCTTTCTTCGGCTGAAATGTACTGCCATCCGATTCTCGTCCCCGAAATAAATACATTTACATTGAGGACCCCCCCCCCACACACCTTGAGTTTAAGAACATTAAATCCCTTCCTGGCATTCTTTGCAGCATTTATTCAACAGGAGGGCATTCACTCAGCTCTTGGGAGGCACAAAAGCTTTTTTTCTACACCAACATGAGGACATGGATGATATTTCAGCTGGCGTGAGGCGGGGGGCAGTTTTGATTTAATAGCATTGGTGTTTGAACTCCTTTGAGTACGTCTACTAAACATGTGGGTCAGACCGGATCCACGTTGCAAAAAGGATCTAAATGTTCAGTGGTGACATTGAAAATATTTTAGACTTTCTGGACTCAAAAACAAACTCGTGTCCAACTCTCACTCAAGTTTCCACCACAGAGTTCAAAATCGAAAGAATTACAATGCAGCTCGCCAAGCTACAGCTGGTTGGAGCACTTAAACACGATAAAATAGGTCCCACGTTAAAAAATACCAAAGTTACTCTTGAAGTTACAATATTAACCACATTTCAAGATTTTTCGGGGCATCAAAATGTATATTATCTTAAAACGTTTTCATACATGTTAAAAAGAGCAACTGTTTAGAACGTGTTGACTTCCTTTAAAGAACCACAACGAACGCAAGTTCTGTGTTAAAAGCGTAACATGAAATTAAAAAGGATGGATATTTTTTGTTTCCTAAAAAAAAATAAAAGAAGTGAAACCAACCCTTTTCTCCGATACATTCACTCATTTCTAGCACAGTAGCACCAGTGAAACCAGTGAAGGCCGTCAGGCTTCTTATTTTCTCTCCTTCTGGTTTGAAAATGTTATTTTCTCAGCAAGTAAATTCTGGAAACAAGTTCTTGAAGAATATAAAGACCCTTGATATCCGTGATACAGAAGCTCGTTTCGCGTTTCTTAAAGCTCCTCAATGCGCTTACGTTACTACAGCTGCTGCGATGAGCTCACACAGCTGGCCGGGGATCGAACCGGGAGCACAACAAGGAGCGAGCAGCGCACTGATGTACGAATATTTGAAATACTGACGTTGGGATTGTTTTTTTCCGTTTCAAAGGATCGTTTTATACATGTGGAGCGAGGTGGAGAAGACAGCACGAGTTGAGAACGATTGCTGCGAGTCCCAACAAATGGACACCTTTGCCTGCCGGGAATGAGTCACTGAAAAATCACTGAGAAAAGGTGAAAAGGAGTCAAACATCCATGATTGATCTTACCTTTACTTTTAAGACAACTGTGGTCATGGAGGGGAACTGTATCGTACAAGCCAAGGCCCAACAATGAAGGAACAAGCTGAAGGAGAGAGGATTTCCAGTCTGCTTTGTATAAAGTAACTCAGCCCCGAAACACAAATATGTCATAACGCCTCCGATCAAACACTGATGACGGCTACTGGGGAGGATTTATGCTCCACCTGCCACTTAAGCTGAGAATAATAATTCTAACCTTAACATTGGGCTGGATTGGCTGAAATAACGGGGCTGGAAGATGAAGCATCCATTGAATAAAACATCCTTTGACCCCGATGACCTATGTGGGGCTTCTTCTGATCTCGCTCCGGCAGTGCAGTTCAGAAAATAACACAGGAAAAAATAAATTGTGGCGACAAAAAATGTTTGGTAACCACATGATGCATTCTATTAGTCCAATAAATTAAACAATTATTAAAAAACTAAATAAAAGTTGAATTAAAAAGAAAAAGAAGAAGTTATAATACAGAGGACCAGCCCCCCACTATTGAGCCTTCACAGACCACCAGCGCAGCAGCGAGACCACTGTTTTTGTTTCTGTGTGTGTGTGTGTGTGTGTGTGTGTGTGTGTGTGTGTGTCTGTTTTTGTTTTTAACAATCACCTGCCACCTGACGCCTGGCAGCTAAAGAGCTAATGATGGTTGGTTCAATGCATTTACTGTACAAAAACAGATCATCTAAGAGGAGAGCAAGCAGCATGGAGGAAAGCAGTAGAGTGTGTGTGTGTGTGTGTTGAGATAAGGGTGATGCTTGCAGGCAGGCAGGCGAGAAGCTGCTTCAGATGCTGTTGAGGGATCCTGGTACTGAACTGTGTTGAGATGAATCGGAACCATCTGGAGGACACAAGGAAAAAAATAAAAATAAAAATCAGAAAAATTTACAGTTGACACAAAACGACATGAGTTTTTTAACAATTACCAATTTGGTAACCAATTCAAAAGTTCAACCATTTGCAGAATAAATCTTGCATTAGTCCAATAAACTCCAAATCGGTGCACGTCCACAAGTAATACCTTTCTGCTGCCTACTTAGTTTTTTCAATTTAAAATAAGAGCAGTCAGTTCCAATCTGGAATAATCCTGAGCAAACAAATACTCCTCCTTATGACATAGTAAAGAAATAAATTAAAAAAAACAAAAAAAGGACATAGATAATTTCTCTCCCAAGCTAATCAAAATTGAGTACATAAGTTAAATAAATATGTTTCTTCTTCATTCTTTGATGACAGGAGCTACGATACACACTGACAGCTGCCCACCAGTAAGTAACAGTCACACACCGTAGTCACAACAACGTAAGCAAGTTGTGGCTCGCTCAGGGACACAATAGCAGCGCCAGGGATCAGCTTGCCGATCCCCTGAGGACCCTGCTCTCCGTTATGTGAGTTTTTTTTGGGGGGCAATTGGCAGCCATCAAAACACAACGCTAGTGTCGATAATGTTGTATTGAGATTAACGGAAGAGTTCCCCACCGTGGGCGGAAGCAGCAGTGTGGGAGCGAGCGTGAGGAGGAATGAGGGTCGAGTTCAGCTGGGGCTGGATGGACAGCTCTGCACAAAACAAAAGTTTCATTTCATGATGAGTCATTTGTCAAGAGGACAGAGTCAACAGCAATGTGTACGCTGCATTAATGGCACCTCCTTTGAGGTCAGAAAACAAACCAAGAGACACCAACTGAATGTATTCAGCAAAACAGATTTGTCAACACAAGCGAATGGAAATCCTTACAGTTCACCTCCAAATCCAAAATAAATAGATTGCCTCTCATTGGTAGTTTTGGTGTTAGTTACCAGACCATAGAGAGGTTTGTTCTCTCCAATTTAGTGGAACTAGATTGCTCCCGGCTTGTCGGGCACAATATGCAAAAAAAAAAAAACAGTCTCAACGTCTCATTCTAGAAATTATTACTCAGTAAAGTCCCACAGACCCTGTCGTTTCATGTAGGAACTATTTTTTCTCCACCCAACTACACCCCTCCGCCGTACTGCGTTGCGGGATGAGAGCGTAGCCCTGCGCGCGCGTACCTGTGGTGCTGAAGTTGAAGAGCATCGGCAGTTCTCTGCCGCTGGGCAGTCGTGTGTTTGGCTGGCGCAGCTCCTCGAAGAAGGCGTGCGAACAGGCCTCTAGTGGGGAGAAGCGCGAGGCCGGCGTGTACTCCAGCAGCCGGGAGCAAAGGGCGATGGCCTCCGGGGGGGTGCGAGGTTTAAACACCTGACGAGCCAGAAGAGTGGAAGTTAGAGTATCTGCCTATTTTGAATTCATCCAAACCACCAATCGAATGTGGCATTTACATTAGAATACAAGTTAAATGCAGGACCTCAAATCTTGAAAACCCCTTATTGAAGAGTTCTGTATCTAAATGGAATCAATCGCATGTCATTTGTGGAGTAGAAAGTCATCTGCTTTGTAGTAACTGTTAAAGTGCCACTCTGGGTTTTACATTGTTTCTGTACTCCAAGTGTCGCCAGGTTAATCGACTTTAAGCACTTCAACCAACAGGTTTAAATAGACTGTGTGGGCAACAACACATCTCCAGGTATTCTCTTCTTTTGCTCTGAGAGACCACATCTTCAACACACACCTTTGCATGCAATAAAAAAAGTAAAACATTTGCAAAGTTCCTTCAAACAAAAAAGTACAGAGATTGTGGATTCAGGTGAACGTACCTTGGTCCATGGGTGAGCTTTGATCTGAGGAAACTTGAACTCTGTGTAGTTGGGGTTCATCTCTCGGATTTGTTCCCTGGTCGGGGTTCCTAGCACCTGGGAGTAGATGTAGGAGTATGACCAGTATTCTAGCGATGAATGTGTGATTCATAGAAAATATTGGAAAAGCACAAACCAAGGGCATATCCAACGCCTACAGGCTCCAATGAAAAGAGGAACTACAAGTGATCCTACGATCAGCTTAGCAGCACATATGACGCCTAATAAAAACGCTCTCACCTTGATAATCTCGACAAGCTGGTCCACCCCGCTGTCACCGGGGAATATGGGTTGTCCGAGCAGCAGCTCGGCCAGGACGCAGCCTGCGGACCAGATGTCGATGTTTGCCGTGTAGTCCGTGGCACCGAATATGAGCTCGGGGGCGCGATAATAGCGAGAGCAGATATACGACACGTTGGGCTCTCCGCGGACAAGCTGCTTGGCGCTGGGGGAGGACAAGAAATCAGGTCAATAAAGATGGTTGAGTCCAAGGGGGTGCCGGGTGTGAACTATTAAGCAAGAGGCAGTTGTAGAGGAAAAGCAGCAACATGACTCCTTCACTGCAGCCTCATTTGTTCTCTTTCCATCACTTTTATTGAGCTCCAGTAGGGAGCGAGTTCAGAATCGAGCGACACTGTGTGATACAATTCTGTATGCTGGTCTGGTGATTGGCTTACAAACTAGTTTGAATGGAGTCACACAGGCCCAATCAAAGAGAACACAGCGCAAAAGCAACTCGGTCAGGATAAAGTAGTAAGTCTACCACATTTGAACCATTTTAAATATAATCTGCAATGTCCCTGACTGCGTAACAGGTGAGCTCAATGCTGTTCCTTCAGCACATACAGACATAATACACATGTTGAGTTGACAGATTTAAAACCCTCCTTCCACCTGCTCCTGCAGCTCACCTGCCAAAGTCACACAGCTTGAGGATGGCACTTTCTGGGTCAACAAGCAGGTTTTGAGGCTTGATGTCTCTGTGACAGACGCCCTGGGAATGGATGTACGCCAGACTACGAAACAACTGGTACATGTACACCTGAGGAGGTCACATCACAAGAGCGTGCATTTAAAATGAAAAGAATAAATAAGAATATGCTTTTTTTCTATTACAGTGTTATTTTCAAACAGCCTATTCAACAGAAACTATATGAATTACTGCTTTAAAAAAAAAAACTTACCTTTACATATATGATAGGAATGATGCTCTTGGCCTTGTTAAAATGCCGGGCCACCCTGTAGACCGTCTCAGGGACAAAGTCCAGCACCAGGTTGAGATACACCTCATCCTTCTGTGCAGCAAACAGAGGTTGTGTTAGAAATACACACAATTTACTGACTCATTGGTACATATATGCAGCCTGAAGAATATATCCAACACAAACGGCCCAGGCTGTCGATTTAAAAGTCATATGTATTTATCCAAAAATAAAGGAAACATACAAACACAATCTTGTTTCCAGTAATTTGCTTCTCCGACAAAATCTATTATCAGAAGTGCTTCCTTGTTTTCGTCAGTCCCGGTCTCTGGGTTGGGATATTTCTCATTATGCTGTATCTGTATATGATGTATTTTATGTGCATGATGCGCAGAAGGCTTCCTCGGTTTTAAAGTGTGGCACTCTGAGTGTGTGACGATGAAGTACAAATGAGAAAACCTTCTCTCCACTGGAGTAGAAGAAGTAACGTAGCCGGACGATGTTGCAGTGGTCCAGCTTCCTCATGATCTGGAGCTCACGATTCTGCAAACGCACGTGCAGAAAGTTAAATTCAAGAAAACAAACAAAGCACGAGAGGAATTAGGAAAACGCCAGGGATACACAACAAGTCCGACCCAAGAACTGCTGAAAGGAAACAGAATGTGTGAATCACCTTGAACCTCTTATCTTGCAGAACCTTCTTAATGGCCACCATCTCTTGGCTGTCGATGAGGCGAGCTTGGTACACCACACCAAACGACCCATTGCCAATCACCTGCGTTCAACGCCAAACAACACATCAACACAGGAAACAGTCACTCTCTGGACTCAAGAAATCATTGAGAGCTCATCCATTAAAGTACAAAATATGGACAAATGAAACAAAGTTATTTATTCTCTTTCTCTGCGGGCTGATACCGGTCCGCAGCCCAGTGTCAACAATCTAAAGTTTATGTCCACTTGCAGTTTTTAAAGTGTTGCAACAATCATAACAGCTGCAGACTGTGATATTGTTTTTTGGGGAAGACTTTGTCCTCAGTGTAGAGTGTTGAGTGCTGAGAGAGTGCTGTTCACTTTAAAGCTTTAAAGCATGTGGACGGATGTGTGAATACGTTCACACGCTTTGATGTTAGAAAAGCACATCATTTTTCTGTGATGTGGTGGGAAGAGGACCATGGACATGTAATGGACACCCCCTGGTCTGATGACATTTTCAAACCCTAGAACATTCAAAAAAGTCGCATAATTCATTACACGACTCATAGTGTTTGAGGTTTGGTAAACAAGCCACATTAACTTGGAGAAGACCTTAGAATTATGAAAATATGACCGCTAAAAGATAGCACACCATCATTCCTATACAGATGCTGTTTAAAGAAGTTGCTTATGAAAGCAGACGCTTTTTATCCAAAGCGACTTACATTACACTTTTAACCCATGGCTTTTTCACATTTTTGCCTGGGGAGCAATTAGGGGTTAGGTGTCTTGCTTAGGGACACTTTGACATGGAACATGGGGCAGCCTGGAATCGAACCACCAACCTTGTGCTTCCCAGCACATCTTCTCTAACCCCTGTGCCACAACGACCCCCTCACCTTGATGTCCGTGTAGGAGACTTCCTGTGGGCGGTCTGGTCCCTGACCTGGTGTGGCCACCACTGTCGTCACCTTTCCGCTGTCTCCTAGGAAAGAAGCAGCAACCGGATGAGTGTTTAACCGGGGGCATGTAACAGTATAGTGTTGTCATTAGCGGGAAATGGGCAATTGCTGTATTGTGAAAAAAGTTTTAAAACTTTGCTAAGTTAAAAAATTGATTAGTTGGAAATTTGTTACAAAACTGCTTCGCAGTGTACCCAAAACAACAGACCCCGACATTCCACCCAGGACCCACTGAAGCAAGCCTCAACATCTGGGCCGTCTGTCTGCTGGCCGTCTGAATATTTAGGTTAATGACAGCCTAGTGAATGGATGTCAACTTTACTGCGCCCCGGGGAGGAGAGAGGGACGGCAGAGTTCATATCCAAGACACTGTGACTAATTTAACTGGGAAAGAGCTCAAAAATAGGCAAACCACTTTTTTGGTCCCAATAAACTGTTTTAAGTGAGAACAGCCTTTCACATGAAGATTAGTTTGTTGGACCGTCCGGTGGCCACGCACAAGGATCGAGAGGAGGGCGAGATGCATTAGTAAGTGTAGTACAGGCCGATCCTTGATGGTTACAGGGCTCTCGTCTGGGAATCCTGTCGGGTTTTCCTTACGGGAAACTCATTGTCTGGGACTGAAGACGGAGATAAAGTTTAGTTTTGAACCCGAACAGAATTGAAAAGACTGAAAAGGAGTTGAACCAACAGTTAAAATGGAAATGCCGAAAGATGTTTGTGAAAGATGCGTTGCTGACCTGACGGTTTGTGTCAAAGTGCAAAGAAGTAATGAGGTGAAAAGTAAGAACAAACATTCCGCCTAAGTCACATGACCTACTACCGTATTTATAGATTTATTTCTCTAATAATTTACGGATATAGTATAACATTTATACTAAAACCGTTTATTTTATAAGCATTTTCCCCTGCTGTTTTATGCTGCCTAAATACTGAAGCAGCCTTTAGCCATGGAGCGGTCATTGTGCGCCATCACCCTGGCATCGTCTGCATACTCCATGCTTTGTTTACCAAACAGCACAAGGCACTTATTGATATGGCCCCTCCAGCCAGAACTGCCCGTCCTGAGGTTCTCGTATGTCCGCACCCCCACGTGCGCACGGTGAACTGTTCTCTGCCAGTGAAGATCGCTGGTGGTGCAATAGGTGGTATTCGTTACAGCCGAGACTATGAGGCCTGCAGAGTGACCGGGTCACCGGGTTCTCTTCACTCAACTCACAGTGGGAGGGACGGTTAGTTAAAAGGATACGCAGGGTTTTTTACAGCGGGAAGAAACAACTTTAACAGGATTGAAAGCTCCCTGAGGTCCATAATCATCATCGTAATTAGGTTTGCAAAATTCTGGGAATATTCAAAGTTGGAAACTTTCCATGGGAATTAACGGGAATAAACATTTGGGGGTGATTTAACTGTATTTACCTTGTCTTATATAACAAAAAAGGGAAAAGCAAAAAAGAGACATAGTTTGGTGTTTATGTCATCCAAAGGCAGAGAGAAATAGAACATCCGCCTGAACACGGTCACAGCAGCCAGAGGAATCATCCTGGGATGTGGGAAGTTTTGGATTTACGTTGGATTCACTTTCAAATCCCCTCAATTGCACTATATATTAACAGCACAACTATAAAAAAAAAGAAAACGCACTAGTTAAATGTCTGTGGGCAGTCTTCAAATGCGGCCTAAAATCATTGATTTTATATTTGTTATCCCACCTTCCAAGTCATAAGACTTGTGCGGAATAAAACCAGTAGAAAATGAACAATTTAGGGAAAAAAGAAATTACATAGAAATAGGCCATAAATCAGGAGAGTAACAATCGTATTATTCATCTTGCCCATGAAGTAGCCGATGAATAGTTTAACCCCCACGCGCAACAAAAAACAGTTTAGTTTAACTTCACGTCAGTGCCAATAGATCACATAGTGGAGCCAAAGGCTACATAATGTGGTATTTTAAGGACCAAAAACTGGCTTACTTAATAGAAACCAGGAACCCTTTGTCATCAAATATCCTCTACTTTTATTTATAATAACACGTTGGTATGGCAACACAACATTCTTAATTCTCCATGTCCAAGTTTAATTTCACCAGTAATTTAAATGCCAAATCACATCTCTCTCTCGCTCTCTCTCATGAATATCCGGCTAACTGGGTTAATCCTGCCTCTTGAAATAGCCTCCAGAACATGACAACATACCCATTACCTATCTTTACCAGCTGACGGCAACATTTGGGACTTTAAGGGCCTCTTGCAGAGAGAGAGAGAGAGAGAGAGAGAGAGAGAGAGAGAGAGAGAGAGAGAGAGAGAGAGAGAGAGAGAGAGAGAGAGAGACACACACACACACACACACACACACACACACACACGGGCCACGATGCTGTGAACTACAGGTGACCTCCCAGCTGGCCTCTAACATCAAAGCCACACACCACTGCCTGCTAATGTATGATGCGGTTTGGATTAACAGTTGCACACACACAGGTCTCTGCTTACATCTCTCACTGTGTTAATAAAGAGGCGCTCTATGACTCCATCTCAGCCAGAGGACGCCTACTGCATGGCCTCCCAGTCCTTGGGCTGGATATGCATCACTTGCATCCTCCAGGCGTCGGCCACCTGCTGCTAAGCCTTTGCCCCACAGGTGACCTTGGTGAAAAGGCGACTTTACACTCCTGGTTGATGGCTGATTCATTGGTCCGTGCCGATGAACGCTGTGACAACTGGATGCAGAACTAGAGCTCGGGTATTTGCGCTCCAGCTTGCCCACAAAGAACTACGGCGCCCCGTTTTCCTGCTCACTCACATTGACCACAGTGAAATACAACAGATCCTCACAGTAATTTAACATTAGTAGGTCGGATTAGCCGTCAATATGATTTACGTAACACTGGGTCACCGGGATAACCAGCCAGCTGCTTAGTTTGACATCAGTAGGGCTGAATAACGTTAGATTTGTCCGCCGGACGGGGAACTATTAGTAACATACAAAACAAGTGACTAACGTTAACGTTAGCAGGCTAGCTAGCTTGTTAGCATGCTAGCAGGTCGGTTACCACTGCACATGAGCAATAACGACTTTCCTTCGTAGTACAACATATAACACTCACAGGTATTTTTAAGGTAAAAGCACAGAATACAATTTATTGGATAGAGGGACTCCGACAAAGAGCTGAAAGCTAATTAGGACTTACTGGCAAGCTTAAGGTTCGAGCATCCCGACGAGTTGCTGCCGGAGGCCTGCGGGACCCCGGACTTTCCTGTGCTGCTCCCCACGGCAGCGGCTGATCCGGTGGACGAAGCGGCGGTTCCTGGAACACCTGGCGGCTCAGCAAACGAGCTGGTCCTGGGCCGCCCGCTGCCGCTCATATCTCTGTGCAGGGGTCAGGGTGGTTGCTTTCCCTATTTTCAGCCAATTGACTACTAAATATGAATACTCGGCAGCGAATAATCGTGGAAAGGCACACCGAGAAATAGAGCTCCCGTTGCCGCCGGCTGTCTGAGCTGATAGCTGTTGCTAGACACCTAGAAACAGACCGCTCGCAATGCCACATGGGAGACGGAGTTCGAAGGAGCGGTTCGCCGGGTTAAATGCAAAGGCTTTCACGCATCAAAACAACTACAAATTCAAAATGACTTAACAGTGTTTGTAGGCCGAGGAAAGAGCAACGCTCACTAAACATTACCCTGGAAATGGACTAAACATTTTAGTGTTTAGTGCTAAAAACACGTAATTTGGCCCGTTGGTGACAAGTTTCCCACCACTTTATCCTAATGCTACACTAAAATAGTGTCACTGGCCACAAATCCCTTTTGTAACCTAATTTTGAGATCTGCTAATTGATATTTTTCTACTTGTCTTCTTGCTTCTAGGCTTGATTACCGTAAGCCACCAATCATGACCCGAATCTGAAAGGCCACTCTCATCCAATACGTAGGCTACATTTAATATTGAGAGGCTTATAAAGGCCAGTCGGATTAGATGATAAATAAAACAAACATTTCAAGCATGTCAAATAAATTCACGGACAGAGAGCATTGTGTTAGAACTTTAATATTTTCAATATTTAGTCGTTTTTTTGTTGTTGTTTAGAAATATTGCACATGGTCAACATGCCTTCTTATGACATAACACTCCTTGCTCATCCTAAATTTCCTTCTCCAAAGTAAGGACAGTTTATTTTTAAGCACAATCATACAGTGTACACACATACATGTGTGTGGATGCACATATGTCTGTGCGGGTGTGTGCATGCGTGCATGTGATTGCACATGCATGCAGACGGACACTTTATAGCCCTAACCCCAAAGAGATGTCAACTAATAGTCCTCTATTACCTGTGTGTATTCGTATATATTTATATATTGTATATAGTGAATATATATTTATTATATATCCTGAATCAACTGGGTTTGATAACAGTCAAGATGCTGGACAAAATAGTCATGGTGACTATAAAAATACGGTCTCTAGAGTAGAATATAGAATGTAGAATATGATGAAAAATATACTATTGTTAATGTGGCTGTGTGGAGAAAAAGCAAGAGGTTGGTCGTGTTAACACGCTACCTGCATGTGCCAAAACATACACACACCCAAACACAGACCTAAATGCACATATATGGAAATACCGGTATATATATATTTTTTTTTTTTTCTTCACACATCCAACTGTATACAGAGAAATAATAGAGATACCCATAATAATCACTAGCCCCCGCTCTCTGCCGAGGAGGCAAAGAGCCAAAAAGTGCTATTCAAAAATTGTCTTTGACTTTTAGTAAGTTATACTCTCTATCTCTTCAACGATAACAATAATTGTGTGATTCTTTTTTGTTTTTGTTTCATACCATAGTTGAAGACAGTATCACAACAGCTCATTCCTCTCACTGACTGACTGCATTGGATTTAATATCTATGGCACAGAGCCCTCCCCCCGAAAACAAAATAACCCACCCGATTTCCAAAAAGAATAATAAAATAAATGTCCTATTGCACCATTTGAGGGGAAAGGATAAAGTGTCGAGAAGAGAGGGAAGAGGGGAGGGCTCCAGAGACTGCCCTCCAGGGCTGGTCTAGGATCTGCTTTCCCTGAACAAAACCTAGCCAGAACCATCCTGAGCTACATAGCGCTTGACCCGGGACCAGTGCTTAAGGGCACTTTCTAACAACACTTGAGGGCCCGAGGTAAAGAAGAGGAATGAGGGGATGAGAGTTGAAAGAGAAGGGTGAGGAGGAGGCGGGGGGGAGGGGGGGGGGGGACAAGAAGAGGAATAAGTTGGTTGATAACGTACGGAACAAGGTTATTATTTTTTTTTCTACTAAAACAATCCCTAAAACAATACTTTCCTGATTTAACTTGCGGCGAGACGGGCCGCACAAATTGTGCAAACACCTGATTTCAACGTTTTTACAAAACCACAAATCCCCCCACTTCTGTGTCTGGTGACAATCGAAGTGGAGGGAATGAGGGAAAGGGAAGGGGGGGAGAGGCAGAGACCCGCCCCAGGTACAATTAAAAGTAGGGTGGGGCGCTGACTGATTTTGTCCCCTTTTTTGTCCAGAGTTTGATTTTTTTGTGTTTTTTTTTTTTTTTTTATGCTTGAGAAGAAATACAATAGAGCCACAAGAGAGAAAACAGGCCACGGTATAACGTGTTATTTCCACGGCAACAATAACGAGAGAAAGCAACATTATATCCACTAGGAGATTCAGAGAAGTTTGGTTGGAATTCTACATTTTCTCTCTCTATCAAGTTGTTGTCCTTATTCGCTATTATTATCTTGTCTTCCTATCGTTGGAATATGAATCTTCCATCCATGAGCATCGTCCACCGTTCTTCTTCTCCCCTTTTTCTCTGTTCTCTGCCTGGAGCCGGTCAGTCAGTGTCAAACTTCAACATAGATTCTTCAAAGCCTCACAACCAATAGTCTCTTTACATAATCTCTTTACGCTGCCTGTTTGCACAGGCTTCTTTTCCGGGGCGGCGACCCCAACAGACATACAGACATATAGAGTCAGCTGGGACTCAGTCTTTCATAATGGCAATAACTGAAGGTGCAAAGATTGGTCACACTACATCCAAACTCCTGCCTTCCTTTCTTCTTTTTCCAGGAGCAAAATGATTTCACGCTTTCTTTTCACTACATTCACTAAAAACTGTGCAGGCCAATGGCTTGGTTAGACCAGATTTGACATTGTTTGTGTACGAGTGTTCACACTGCACAGGTGTGTCCATGTTTGTGTGTGTGTGTGTGTGCTATTTATGTTTGCATGTGCTGTCTGTCTTGCAGCATCGAGGGGCCGTGGAATATCAGTGGAGGTCGTTGGGGTTGTGTTTGTGTCCCGACCACTGTGCTGAGGAGTGGAAGGGGCGAGAAGGAGGTCACGTCAATGGCATCTGAGGGCCGGCTGGCTGGCTGGCAACAGCAAACTGCATCTGCACAGTAAGTGACAAAGTGCCTTTGTGGGTCATGATCCTTGGTAGCTCCTCCCAGGGACCGCCATCCAAGAGTAACAGTCTGATTTGGTAAGGGTGTGTGTGTGTGTGTGTGTGTGTGTGTGTGTGTGTATGTAGGATCATGTGCATGCTGGAGATTACATATGCAGCACAGTTTGTGTGTGTGTGTGTGTGTATGCCGGAGACATAGTGAGTGTGCCCCACAAAGTTTGTGTGTGTATCAAACTACTGAACAAATGTGCTGAACGCAGACCTGGGCAGAGTGGTAACTGGAAATATTGGAGGCGGGGCGGAAGAAGCACTTGACTCGTCGGGACTTGTCCACTTTTAAAGTAGAAAAGGGGTCTGATTAGACAAATCAAGCGCTCCTCAAGTCAGACGTAATTCTTGCCCAGGTCTGATGGAGATGAGTGCCGGCAGAACGGATCCTGCCTGACTGAACATTCTTCTCTCTCTTCCTTAATTTTTTTATTTCTGTCATCCCGTCCAGTTTAGGACATCTCTCTTTTCGGGTCCTCGGGGCTCCAGGCTTTGTCTCCTTGCTGCTCCGGCCCTCCGTCCTCCCGGACCGAGTGATTGAAGGACGAGCTGTGGGACGGGGCGGGGCCGGCCTCGGCTAACCCACCCAACACTCCCGGCTCAAAAGTTCCGGGCGTGGTCGTCTGCATGATCTTCTGACGGACTTCGCGGATCTTCAGCTGCAGACACACCTTAGTGGGGAAGGTGTCCGAGTAGCGCGCCTGGAAGGCGGCGGTGGCCTGAGCTGGATAGTTGGAAAGACGTGAAGGAGGTAGGAAAACAGAGAGCAAGAAGACAGAGCGTATTTGTATGATAGAAATATGAGTTTTGTTGCGTGGGCTGTAATGAAGTGACAGAATGAAGCCCAAATCTGTAATCTCAATCTCGGGTGGGTATTGTGAGATCGTTGCGTATGTGCTTGTGCTTTACCTGAGGGAAAGAAGCCATGTTCTTGAAACAGCTGCATGACCAGGGCCCGGCGCTGATCCAGGGTTCTGCGCAGAGACGAGTAGGAGACCCGGTCAGGGTCTCCGAGAAGATCTTCTCCCTCTGTACCTGGTTCAATGAGGACGACATTGGGTCACTCTTTAAGGCCCCTTTTTTGGAGTTCTCCCCAGCCGCCGCCCCTCGACCCAACATACCCGTCGTACCCGCTCGGTCAAAGGTGAAGATCTCTCCCTCGCACTTGGCGGCGCTCTTGGGGGTGTTGGGCTCGGAGCTGCAGCTGGAGAGACGACGGGTCTTCCTCCTCGGGGAGCTGGGTTCTTCCGGCGGCTCCGGCTCTAAGGCACAGGACGTGAGGGATTGCAGAAGAAGGAAAGTATTAGGGTCAAGGAGAAAAATAAAAACAATGCAATGGCACAAAAACGTCTTAATTCCACATCCATATAACATAAAGGTGGCTTTTGAAAAGTGAATCCTACCGGTGGAGTTGCGTGCCTTCTTGCGGTAGCTATCCAGGATGACTCTTGGCGAGGTGGCCAGACTCTGCAGAGTGGGCGAGGGCAGAACCTCCTCCGGGTTGAACGCTGGAAGCTCAGCAATACGCTCCTCAAAGTACGACTCCGACAGGACCCTGCACACGGAGAACGTAGAGGTCATATCGATTCTCCCCGCCCACCACAGCAGGCCGGTAGTCTGGAGGGTCAAACTATAAAGGGATTGGATGCACATTCCTCGGTTCTGTCAGGGCTTTCTCTCGTCTGTGGCTTCCCCTCCACTCTTGTGCTGTCTAAGTACAGAACAGAAAGGGGAGGGCACTCTGCCCACTCACATTCAGGAAACAAAGAGTTTCCATCGTCACTTCATGAAGTCTGGTCAAATGAAAACAAAAAACAGAACTAGATGCCACAATGTGTGAACATCAGTGTTAAATAAAGTCGACAAATGGAGACCCGTCCGGGGCGCTGAATCTCATCCACAAGCTGCTTCGCGCTGTAACTACAGAAGATGAGCTACTGTTATATGAGCTCTCTCAGCTTGACAAAATGTAAACTGTTAGAATAGAGAGAACATTGTCTGACAACGATCGGAGAGCCAGAAGGACCAGGCTGACTTGTTTTAGTGTTGCTTTGGCACTGAAAGCTGTGACTCTGCTGAGTCGGATCACGAGAACCTCTCTGGACTGGAAGCTCGTCTCGCAGCCACAGACAAGACCCAAAGAATATCTAAACACTAACGTCTCGCATTCAATTCAAATCTATTGTTTACTTTCTTCCTTGTTTTATGCTTTTACGCTTCTGGACACTAAACTCCATTAGATATACACTGCTCACAAAAATTACCTGCACTCAAACACTTTGATAACACATCAGATCTCAATGTGAAAACAAATGATGTTGTATATCCATGCTAATATGGACAGTTTAATGTCTAAGGAATCATTTGTTATCCTCCAGCTACTGTCTCCACACTTGCCACCTGAGGCCGAGTACTGTTGAGCTTCAGGAGGAACCCAGGACCTACTGCACCGGGGTCTGACCATGGGGTCAGGGATTGCATCATCAGAAAAGTGCAATTGAATTCATGCCTTAACCAGAGAAAAGATTGTTTCTTTTTGAGCAGTGTATTTGAATCAATAGAAAAATGAAAGCACTGATGTGATGTTCTGTACTCCCACCCGTCTCGTGACGACATCGTCCCACTTACTTGGGAGACTCGAGAGAGTCGGGTGTTTTCTTGAGTGGCGGGGGTCGGAATTTGGTCTTCTTCGAGGAAGAGGAGGGCTCTCTTTCCGCAGCAGGAGGGGGAGGGGGGTCCAAACCCGGGGGTGGCGGAGGAGGGGTATGAGGTCCGGCCTGGGAAGAGAGCGAGAGAGTTGATGTACTGTTCCCTCACAACTCTTTGAAAGGTTCTCTTGATTTATCAGAATATAGAGAACTGTTTTGTTAGTATGTCTCCTGTCTCTGTATGTTTTGTGTCTGATATTAGTGTGTAAGAAGGAGAATAACACATTCTAGTGTATTCTTGTATCAGCATCAGAGCTGAAACAATTTCAACAATATCTTATAGATCTTGCACCAAAGCTTTGATAGTGGTTTGATGGGAGAAACCGCTTCCTCACCTCTTTGCTGCTGTGGTCCATGCTCTGGTCCTTTCTCTCTGTCTCCCTGCCTCCCTTCTTCTCCCTGCTCTCTTTCAGCCCTCTCTCTTGTTCCCTGTCCAAGTCGCTTTGATTCTCTCCGCTGTGTTCATCTCTGAGGTTTTCTTCTTTGATCTGAAGACCAAAGTCCTCCTCTTTTTTAACTGGAACAGATAAAGATAAAAAAGAAAAAAATGTGCTTCTATTCTTCATCACACTCATCTTAATCCTGCATGCTCAGCCTTACAAAAATATTTTAATCTGGAGGTAAAAGCAGACTGATTCTGCAACACGATGTTGGTTATAATATTTATTAATGCCGCTTTATCTTTTTGTCATTCTGTAATATTACCATGCAGAACACGGGGGTCGCTGATCAATCCGTTAGTTTGGTTATAGTGTTGTAATTAACCCTTCAAAACCATAGACTGTATAAAATATTGACACGGTCATTATAATTTGTTTCTACTAAAACAATCCCTAAAAACAATACTTTCCTCCTAAGTCGTTGTGAAGCTTAAAATGGGCGGCAGTCTCGGCCGCCACAAGAGGTGGATCGCCGCTAACGTTACCTGTCAACTCAAGCAGCTACGTGCTCCTCAATGCTAATTACACAATTCACCCCCCACCAGTTATGTTGTCATTAACGTGAATACGAGTTATGGAGGCCAAACCTAGGTTGCAAACATGTTGATTTAGATTCTGGTTTAAAATATTTTTATGTCAGTACATTGCTTTGCCAGCGTGATTTACTGTAGTTAATGCAGTCGCTACTCCACTTCAAAACATCCAAACCATTACTTTAAATGTAGAGAGAAACCAATTCATTTGGCATTGAAAATATCAATATTAATCACAAAAATGAGAAATTGTCACTATTGGTGACTGTTCTTTCAGGTAGATTATAATATTTTGTTTATTTATGGCTCCAAACTGAACCAAATGATCAGTTGATATCCAAAATTAGAGACGTTTTAAGCAAAAGTACCCAGAAGCGGTGGAGCATTACCTGCTGCAACATTAATCGCACAGTTGGTAAACGAGGAGCTGGCAGCACAGCTCGACCACCCGTCCTCAGTCGCACCATCCGTCAGGTTCTCCCTTTTCACCTCCACCTTCACCTCCACTGACGCAACAGGCAGACGGGTCAATGGCGCTGAGCCCTGCACCCCTGTCGCCAATGGAGACGGAGGGTGGCTGATCACGTCCCGGCTGGCCAGTGCGGGTGGCGCAGTTGTCATGGAGACCATGCCAGCGGGCAACGTAACGGTTGATGGAGGGTGGATGGCATTAAGCACCTAATGAAGAAGACAGAAATTACACCCATACCCTAAACATTCTCAGCCTTAAGTAGCAAAAGACACACTTCTGATTGTTAAAACATTACCAGATGGGCTTTAAATGTGTGTATATATACCATGCTGCCTATGTGTATTCTGTTCCTCTTTACCTGACTACCAGCGGCTCCCGAGGCCTGACCTGGAGGGATCTGAGATTGACTGCTCGGGGGCGAGGCTAACAGGGGCTGAATCAGGGTTTGCCCTGCAGGGGCTACGGCGGTGAAGCCCAGCGCTGCCAGGGACGACGGGAGATAGGTAGCGCCCGGAGCAGGCGCGGCATGTTTGGGTGTCGTCGTGTTAACTCCCGGGCCGGCCTGGACGTAGGTGATCCTGAAGGGAAGAGGAGTCATGAAAGCTAGAGATCACAGCTGATGTTTAGAAACCAAAAAGCAATAGTTGAATAGCAAGCAAAAGCTGACTTAAAATTGCTTGTTTTGTCTCACCAACAATCCAAATCTAAAGATATTCAGCGTAGAAAAAAAAAACTTTGTTTGTCCACACTTTCTGCAAAATAATTTATGAACCTCGCTGAGATGCAAACAAGTGAGGAAAATCAAAGCGGCAAATAGGTGTTAGTGACCTGGTGGGTGGAGAGGTCAGAAGAACGGTCTGTGGGGGCGCACCACCGGGAGCCATAACTGTTGCCATGGAAACAGGAAAGGGGCTCCCAGGATGCACCGCTGCTGCCACGTACGGGGGAACGTTGGTCTGGATCACAGGCATTGGAGCAATCTGGATGATCTTTATGCACGAAAACAGAATTTCTCACCCACTTATTGAAATATAGTGTACATTTGTATATAAATACATATACTGTATATATATATATATATATATATATATGTTTTTTGGTATTTAATTATTTAAGGGAGTGAGGTAGGACGATCATTTCTCACTCTGAGTATCTAGTTGTAATAGTTACGTTTTCTTAAGGGAAAATGTGTCAGAAAAGTTAGAAGCTCAGGAGATCTTCATCAAATCAATGGTTATTTTTGACCAACAGTACAAAATCCACCAATACACAATTTAGAGTTGTCTAAAAGAGAAAGGAACATCAAATCACATTCAATTCTCTGCCACTGTACAGCAGCAGGAGCGTGATGTTACCCTCTGAACTCAAAAAGAGAACATGAAGATAAAGCTACGTGACCTTCGATAATCATGTCTCATGTGTCGTCTTAATCTTTTACTGCTGCTGATGCAGTTTTGACCACTCGGGCACCTGTCAGCAAACAGAACAGCGTCTATTCGAGCTTCTGGCACTCGCTTTAGTCCCCGCAGACATTCCTACCTTGTTTCCTGTCACAGAGCTGTTCTGCACAGGAAGAGGAGGTGCTCCCAAAGAAATGGAGGGATGAGGAGGAGTAGACCCTGTTCTCACTGTTGCCATGGGAACCAACATCTTGCTCTGCAAGACTGGCGACTGGGTTTGGACTGACGAGTGAGAAGGAAAGAAAGAAAGAGAAAGAGAGAGAAAGATAATTAAAACATCAGCATGAGAAACGATGGCCAAAAGACGGGAGGGCAGGACGGTTAAGCAGCAAGGAGTGGGTGGAGACACAGGACACAGAGACAGGCGAGGACATTTCGACAACTTATAATAGTGAAATTCCTCTCTGATAACAAGGTGGAAAAATGTTCTGCTGCTCCAGACTCATCTGAATAGAGTGATTAGACACAGGTGGGCGACTGGTGCTCATACTTGTGTCACCGGTGCTTCCCCTGTAAGTCATTCACCTCCCGTTTATGTAAGCCAATCCAATCTATTCTCGGTGCTTCCCGCAGGGATGATTAATAGAAAATAAGGCCCACCTACTCTGTGGATCGATGACAGCGGAGAAACACTAAGACTAAACTCTGATTGAATCTTTTTTTAAATCGGCCAATCGCTCCTCGCTGTCTCACCTCTGTTTCCGGGGCTGACTGATGCCACTCTGATGCCCGCCCCTGAGTGCATGCCATTGGCCATGGCGGTTTTGGTGGGCAACGAGACAATTTGCTGGTGGGTGAGTTGGGGCGAGGAGGGGCCCTCTGTGGGCAGGATGTACTGCACCTGCGCTAGTAGCTGGGGGGCGACGGTGGCTGTGAGAGTGGCGGTGGAGCCGGTGGGGTGCAGCAGGGGCTGGAGGACAGGTAGGGGGGTTTGTGCGTGCGGCTGCGGGATGAGGAGCTGCAATGGCTGGGCGGGGTTAAAGGACCCTCCCACAACTAGGCTAGGGACCAGGTCGCCACCCCGTACAGGCGTTACATTGACTGGACCAGGGGAGGAGGATGAGGACAGGTACCCACCACCCACGGCGATTGGCAGCTGCTGAGGTTCGCACCCTCCCAACAGGAGAGTGGCTTTCCTATCCTGATGCTGGGGGTTGCTGGCGACGGCTCCTCCTGCTGGCTTGCTGGTGATGGGGGCGGGCGGGCTGGCGACGGGTCGCTCCACACTGCTCACCATTGTGGGGGCCGCGGGGACGCCGCCGAGAACCAGGGGAGCCTGGTCACTGGAACGCGAGCTATCGGCGAAAACAAAGGAGGGCCCCCCTCCTCCACCTCCGTCTGCTCCATCTGCAGCAGCTTCTTCCGTCTTGGATCTTCCCTCGCTCCCCTCCTCTCCTTCGTCTTTCTTTCTCTTCCTCTCGGATCCCTCGTCACTTCCTCCTCCTCCGTTCTCTTTGGCGGAGGTGGAGTTGGCGTGGGGGGTGGAGGGAGAGGAAGAAGGGACAGAGGAGCGAGTCACTGGCTGGAAGCCGTGCTGGAGGGAAGACAGAGAGAAAGAGACGGAGCGATGAACACATGAACTTAGTTACTTAGGAGCTTACAGTACCTCTGGAAAATCTGGGGGTTTAAAATGCTCGGTTGGTGATAAAGGAGCCGCCTCCAATATGATGTCTTTCATGCAGAATTATACTGTTAGTAAAGAAAGCAAAAAGTCTAAAAGACTCAATACCTGCAAAGAAAATACACATGCATCAATACTCAATGTACAGATTCAGTTAAATGTGGTAGCTTACACGCTTGCATTAATACAAAAAATATAGTTTAAAAAATAGTTATAAAAAATCTTTCTAATCTAAAGTACATAGTAGTATGTATGTATATATATATATATATATATATAAAATATATATTGGAAAAACACACGAGTTGATGTCGGCTGCAGCTACCTGTCCGTCTGGTTCGTCCTCATCGCTGTCCGTCACTCTCTCTTTGCACTTGAGGTCGATGGAGCCTTCAGGACAGGAATCCTCTGAGGGTGGGGTAAAAATATGAGAAGTTAGCACATTTCAGAAAAAGAGAAACAGAAGCACAGCATACTTTCAACTGCTCCCCTTTTGAAATCCGTGCCTTCAAATTGGCATCCAATAGCCGATCATGAGCCATTGTTAGTTTCAAGCACTAGCAATTAACAATCTAGGGCTGACGCTCACCAGGTGACAGAGAAAAAGGCGTTTTTCTCGACTGTGGTTCTGATTAGGAAGTCTTTAGTGTCACTGTCTATTTTTAAGGACACACTGATGGTTGTGGGAACTGAAACTATGACTTGTGGTGGTGCAACAGCCTCTCAAACAGCATCTACGGCGCTGATCACCGAACTGAACTCACCCATGACGTCGTCGTCTCCCTCTTCTTCACAGATGACCATGCGCTCTTCGTCACTGGTCACATCCTCGCTGAGCCCTCCTTTATATAGGACCTGAGACGAGGGCTGACGGCGAAACAAACTGGCCCCCTCCTCCTGACAGGCAAGACAAAGGAGAAGCAACATTTTACTATGAAGTTACTATGAATCTCTGTCTGTGAGTCCATCACATATCTGGCAAAGGAACCGTCCGATGTACTTTGAACTTGGGGGGTGTTTTATTGCGGACTGAACGACGTGCAGCATTCAAATTTAGACACAAGAGTAACTATTAAAAACTTTCAAACAAGCGGTGGGGAGGAGCTTGAGGGAGCTGCAAACAAGCATGTTGCCACACAGCTGGCTTTTAAAAGCCACGGGCTCCACTGGACTTTTGCAGTGGGGAACAGAAAGTTTAATGGCTACGAACTCTTCTTCACTTCCATAGGAACTCACCAGAAGAACTCTTCAGACAGAAGCAATAACGCTATTATCACGGCATGGATACGGCTTTGCCGCCAGCAGTGAATAAAAGCCTTTAAAACAAAAGAGCTCACATGCAGGTGCATCCCGCTGTGAGTAGGAGCGTAGCAGCAAACACCTTCAAAGGCTCTAAAAAGGAGTAAAGAGTGAAACCTTTGAAGTTGAAGGGCTGAGCTCCCCCTGCAGCTTTCACAACTCGAGCCCTCATACCGAGAACCTACAGTCCATTTGAACGGTTTTGTTTTGGAACAGCAAGCTTTCAATCTTGGAGTTCAGTTGAATTGCTCTGTGGCGTGAAGAACACACGTCTGCGCTCTATAAATACACACAGGTATGTTGGTGCGTAGGTGCTCACATGCACAAAGGATTTCTTTTGTCTGCTCTCATTCTCTGCATTATTATTTAATAAAATTCAGTCTTTGTTCTCTTGGATCCGACGAATCAATGTTAAGTGCCTGAATAATGACTTAATTTAAAGCACATGATTTTAATTCTCTCCAGCTTGAAGATTAAACCAGCTGGAGAGCAGAAACAGTTCTTCTTATCTCCAGAGTCTGTTTGCTGCCTTCCAGCTAGAGCTCAACAACCGCCTACCTTCTCCATGTCTCTCTCCCTCTGCTCCAGGGTGTGCACGGCACTCTGGGAAAAGGCTCGGGGACGAGCGTGCGGCCCGGCAAACAGCCCCACTCGAGGCTCCAATCCGCTTGTCCAGCACGCGCCTCCACCTTTCCCCCCCTCCGGCACCTGGGACTCTGGATGGGGATCTGGAGAAGAGGGGATGCCTGAGAAACATGAACTATCTCACTGACTCACGTATAGGTTAATAAAACTTGTTCAACATAAATCCACACCAACGCTGTGTCGGCAACAAAGCTCTGCCATGTGTATTAAGGAATCTGTATCCTTTCTATAGTGTCAGTGGAGCTGAATGTTGTTTAGGGAATCTACGCCAGACCAAAAAAAGATTCACTGACTCTTGTAAAAGGCATATTGTGTTATGGTCCTGAAATGCTAATGAATGCTAATCAACGCACACACACACACACACACCTATGCTTTCCGACATGCTCCTCTCCCGTGACTCCTTCGGCAACACACGGCCCTCCGATAGCGACTTCCTGCGGTCCTTGTTGCACCACTTCCAGTCCGGGTGGGCTCTGAAGTGGGCCTCCTTCACCTGGAGAAGAAAGGGGAGGAAAGGGTCTTCACCACTTCAGCCCCTAGTTCTAGAACTCAAAACGGAAAAGCTCCCTAATACCGGACCGAAGAGTCACCACTCGGTCAATAACTGCCTGCTGCGAAACAAGGCGTAAAGAAGGGCCAAGTAAATAATCCTGTCTTCACCTGGAAGGCCAGATCGTGGTACTGCTGCTTCTCGTTGGGCCCCAGAGCGTACCACCACTCCCCCAGGATCTTGCTGACTGTTCGGTTATCTTGGTTGGGATGCCGCTGGTGCACCAGGGCCCGGTGGCGCTTGCTGAAGATCATGAACGCGTTCATTGGTCTGCGGATGTGGTCCTTCTCCCTCTGGTTGAGGTTTTGGAGGGGAACATAAATCTCAGTTTCATGGTGAGAATGTATCTGTCTGGGCGTTTCGACCGTCCGTCTTTGAGGTGCACTGACCTTCCTGTCCCCGTCCTTGGGCAGGGCGCTGAGGGACTGCGTGCGTCTCTTCAGGGTGGCAGTGGAGGGCGTGGCGTCGTTGGCCACGCCCGGGGAGAACCTGCACCAACGCCACAGAGGAAAAGGTGAAACCGTTGAGATTAAGGGAGAATTATGAGAATTATGTTAGGGACTTTCAGAAAAGTGACACGGCGATATGGAAGGAAACCAAAACACAACAGATACCGGGTACAAAAGTCTACTCTTTATTTGAGTTGTTGTATAATTATAATAATTTTCAAATTGTAGAAACAGCTCCCAAAAAGACATGTATAGTTTAGTACATAAATTATTACAATGATTTTAAAATGTAGATTACTGACGGCAAAAACAACAAACATGAACGGTAAACAGATACTGGGAGAAAAAGAAATCAGACGGATAAATCAGTGGTAAATGAAAGTGGGTGAACGTTTTTAATAGCAATCATTGTGATCATTAAAGAGGAAGTCTTTTTAAACCGCGAGGACGTCTGGACCTTTCAGCTGTCGAGAGGGAACTCATAGTCAAGCCGTGCTCACATGAATACTCTCTCCGTCTTGTCTAGTTTTACTGAAGCCTTTTTGAAATAGCACACATTAGTCACATAAATACAAAAAAGATTAAATAAGCAGAAGAGTCTGACGTGCAAAATTCATGAAGGCAGAGCTGGGGAGTTTGGCTGGGAAAGTACAGACGAAATACGAAGAAAAGAAAGCAGAACTGATAATAATAAGCAAACAAATACATCCCATAAATGTACACCATGCTGCCTATAGGTGTATTTGTGCAGCCGGGGGTCACAATCGGAGCTCATAATTCTGTTTGTCGACAACGTGGAGAGAAAACACTTCTATCGGCGACGGCTTTGTGAGCACGGCAACCCTGAAACATTTGAGAAGCGCACGAGCAGCCAGACAGCCACGCAGCGCGTCTGAGTCACTCTGACAGAGCAGCCACCCAGCCAGACGCAGGGACCGGCAGGGATGGACGGGAACAGACTGTGCCACGCTTTGCCAGACACACACACACGCCGCACAAACATACAGCGATACAGCGGGTGAGACAAGTCGTGTGTTGTTGTTTGTTTCTTTAGGAAAAGCTGTCGGAGGTGAATTTCAGCCCACCTGCTCTCAGCGCGGCGGCGCTGAGAGTTTTAAAGTCTCATTTGCTCTGCAGTTACTATCGGTTTTCTTGTGAGTCGCTCAAAAGAAACAAAAGGTGTGAAGTGTTCGCTCAAAGTGGGTTGACGCCATTTAAACGTTTTTTAAAGGTCAGAACATCTTCTTTTTCTCTCTCCATATTTAAAGCTGATGCGAGGAACTCTCTCTTGTGTTAATTTTGGTGGACAAAAGCGCCATCGTTTGTGGAGACCCAGAATCCGGAAGGGGTCTGACTAAGTCCTGGTTCTGTTTCCAAGCAATACAGCCTGAAACACCAAAATAAAAATGTTTTGTTACCTTAACACTGTTTTATAACCACTGACGTTTGTCATTTGTAAAGTCAATATAGCTACAGAGTGTTGTTTTTCAAAATGAACAAATACAACTATGTTGTAAACCAACTAAGTATTTATAGGGGGGGGCATTTGAAGTATGGATGATAATGAACACAATAATCGATTTGTAAATGTCATGATAATGATCAGTAACTGTGTTATAAAATGTACTTATATTCCACTTCAATGAGTACCTGAGTTTATCTAAATCCTTGCACGTAAACCAGAGGATTAACAGTGTCTGTCGGTGTCTGTCAGTGTCCCGCTGTGGACCGGCCTCTTGTCACAACACGGTCAATGAGCCACTGCGCTACTCTGCACTATTGTTTTTCTTTTACTTCCACCTCCTCTTCTCTTGATGCCCTTTGCCATCAGTAGGACATTGCTGGACACCGGCCAGTACAACTACTGTATTCTGATACGTGAATGACAATAATATACCTGTTTGAGGCCCAAACTAAATTGAAAAGCAGAAAACATCCCACACTTCAGCAAGGCACCACGATGAATACCAAAGAGGGGGATGAAGTCGGCCCCTTTGTACTTACGGGTCGTCGGTGTCGCTCTCCGTCTCGCTGTCGGCCCCGCCCCTGTCTGTAGGAGGATTGTCATTGGTCGCTGCAGGGCATGAGGTGGATCCCCTCTCCAGGTCTGGAGGGCCGGCCCGCCCGTCGCTCACCAGGGCCACGCCGCACCGAGGCTCTAAAGAATACAAGTGTTTAATAGTCAGTTAGTTAAAGTAAGAACCCACAGAGCCGTTGTGTAAACACAGGGCTTCCCTCCATGCAGCTCAGTGAGCGACGCTTATATTCCGCCTATGAAAGATGTGATTAATAATCACCGTTTGATTTTATTCTACAGGGGTCTTGCTAACCAGCCAGACAAAATGAAGAAAAGTGGCTGGTGTGGTCTCTGAAATTGTTATTGCTTGCCGTGTTTTCATGATGTGACCTTGTTTCTGAGGAATTGCATCCATTTTTTTCTGACAAAACATAGAGTAGCGCAATAAATCAATATAGCAGCTTTTAGAAAAGAAAGTCAACACAATGAGGCTTTTAACGAAGCTCTGTGGAGGAAAACCGGCCGCTTCCTCCAGTCACAACTATTCCCGCTCTACATTTTAACAATCCGGTCAATAAATAGTGTTATTACCAAAGTTCCTGGAGCTATATTGGTGTGAGCACCAACTGTGCCGATTTGCAATTCAGTCGCAACAGATTTGGGAAACGCTGCCTTGGCTTCCGCTGCGTCGGCCCAAACATTTCTACTATTTCTACTGAGGGAAATACTTGTTTGTAAGACCTATTTGCGTATGTGAGGGTGCAAGCGGTGGAACGCCGATGGGGTCATTGGCTACCTCTGCTCTGACTGACGTGCTGTTGGCCGTCGGCAGGCTGGGCAGCCGCTCCTGATTGGCTGGGCTCCAGGAAAGGGACGAGCGAATGCCAAGGGAACACTGGCACCGACCGAGGCTCCACGTTGGTCCAAACTGTGGGAAAGCAGAGAGAGAGGGAGAAAGTGAAATGTCATGTTTGTCCATCTCAGTACCGCGGACTGCAGACAGGAGGTAGCATGTGAAGCCCTCCACGATCGCCAGCTAAAGCGCAAAAACTACACTTTCATAGAAAGTGAGGACCATGAATGGAGTTGTGTGTTCAGCCACCTACTCAGGCCCCTCTTCCAACACACACACACACACACACACACAGAGCATCCCTCAGGATAACAAGAGTTCAGGGGGCATGTGGTGTAATGAGGGAACCTGTTATTTCTTCCACAGAGACTCCAGACCACTCGCTGTCTACACTGCAGCCGAGCTGCAGAATGCACCATTTCAAGGGAAGAAAGACCAAAGAGTGCAGGCTGAAATCTCTGTAACTACTGTCTTACAGACGGCATGAGAGGTTATGAGCCATAATATTAATAGAAGTATTTTCTTAATGCAGACATAAGTCATTGAATTCAATGCCTACCACATGCAAAATAATTCAAGGGATGTTAAACTTAAACCACTTAAAAGGAAATGAAAAACATGCGTCTCCAAATGAATTGATTTCTCAAGAGGACTGTTTGCAGACGTACTGACGAGTACTAATTTCAACCCAGACCACGTTAACTTAACCAGTATTAAACAAGATTTTTAAAGCTACAGATTAAATGAAACAACATCAACGCTGGTGTTAAAATTGACGGATTTTCACTAAATGTATCTGCATTTCACGGTTGGAATAGAATGAAATTGCCATCCGCTGTTTTACATCAGCTGTAATCTGTGGAGCCAATTGTAACATACGGACAACCGCATGTGTTGTTTGGCGCCCTTTGACCCGACCACATGTTAAACGCTAAAATAGCATTCAGCACAACGCATATTTTTTTTAATGGTATAAACGGAAACCATTATTACAAAGCAGAGAATAGCGCCTGTTTTCTGAGCTGATGAAAAGTTCACAAGTTGTAAACAATGTCAAAAGAAAACCCCTAAAAGCTTTTTTTGTTAGTTTATAGTGAATATTTCCACAGAACAGACAACACAAAATGTTCACATGATCACAATGTCACTGAAAACTACTATGATAGTATTTCTAACATTACTACTGCCAGTACCAATACTACAACCACTAAAGTCACAAATATTACTGCTTATGTCCCCACTACTACTGTTTTATCAGCAGCAGTTTATTCTCAGTATGTGTACAATATATTATTATGGAATTATTGCTTATGTCATGATAAAGAATTCCCCCCCTAACCGCACGTATTCCACGTACAGGTGGAGCCTGTTGAAAAGACCCGTCTTCAAACTGTGCTGCTGCACTGCAATGTCCAGTTTCCGTTTCCATTAATCATTTGATAATAAAGTATTAACATGGTCTATTCATAGCTACCCATCAGGCTTATGGCTCCTCTAAAATGGAGGCCCAGATACTGCTGAGCTGGACAATGAAGAAAGCGTAAACACATCCCGGCTGGTTCTCTTTTACAGATTCTAGTGTCACCTGATCATTATCACTGCAGTGCTCTGAAATGACTGCATGACTCCAGTTATGACGACGCCTGCAAGGGGAACCACAGCTAAGGAAGTGAGTCTTATATCGCACAGAAAAGTTTCTTTGTATATATAGATAATAATGATTGTATATTTATTGCATAACTAAATTGTTAGACCTATTTCTGTGCATGTATATTGAAAACTGAGAACTGGAACACAAGAGCTGTGCATTATGTGTGAGGACAGCAACATATGAAAATATGTACGTAGATAAATTCAGATAAACAGAATTCAGACAAAGTAATGAAGGGATTTTTAAGGTCAATAATGATTCAGATGTTTCACAGTTAGAGAAATTCTACAATATAGCTGAGAGAAATTTGCTCATGGTTGTTCCCGGGATGTAACGGGAGGGATGCGAGGCAGCAATGTCACGATCTTTGACATTCAAAATGGAATCTCTTTCTTTGAGTGCGCTTGTGTAAAAAGAAGAATGAACAGACGGACGGACATAATGGAACTAAAAATGATGAATGCCAATGACAGTTGTCAACTATTTTAATACAGGAATTTTGACCAAGAGACATGGAGAGAGACATTCTGCTGGTGAAACATTGACTCTCTGGAGACGCTGTTACAAATAGCCTCCAACCTTGTTTGGCCTTTCTGTTCTGGAATTTCCTGTTACTTATCAACTGACGTATAATGTACATTGATACTGAAATATCTTCAAAAACAGTTAATATTTGCCAGATGGGTCAAGCTGTGTTCAATCAGCAGTTTGGACACCAGCCAACTTGAGTGACTGAAGCCGTTTGCTTTGTTTTAAAGGATTCTCTGCATTATGAAACCTAAAGGTCAGAAACAATAACTGTTTTCTTTGCTCACTTATTATACGATAGCATGTTATTGAAAGGTTTGAACACAGTTAGAAATGTTCTAATTTAAGAAAAGACTTTCCTGAGTTGGACTAAAGACTGAATTAACAACAGAATTAAATAAAACTACACTGGCAGAAACAAGATGACAACTCTGTGACTCATTTGAATGACAACAGGAAATGTTACGGGGTCAGGAAGACTGTAGAAAACCTGCTGCGTGTTAATGTAAGAGTGGAAGTGAAAAACCAACACTCCTCACTGCCTCCACCCACAGCTGGGGGTTTTATTTGGCCGGCCTTACTACCCAGCTCTGCCTCCACCACATATCACTACGTGACCATTCAGCCCCAATCGATGACAACAGATCTGCAATCAGTAACATTTCTGCACTTAGTAGTTATAGTAAATCTTTCTTATTGTCAAAAGAATTCCACAAATACACCAAAAGGCAACTCAGACAAGTGCTATCTGTTGTTGCCAAAGCCCTCCGTGCTCCATAGAGCTCCATTGTTGTCAAGAACTATTAAAACCACATTGGCGAGGCAACAGCGCTGGACTGCGTGACATTAGACATTCTTGCGATGAACAGCGGGCATTGTGGTTGAAATGAATCGGACGTATACCACACTCCTGCCCTGTAATTACCCACCACAACACCAACGGTGTAATAATCCACAACTGAAAAAGGTCCCTCACAAAATGCAACTGAGCAACAGCTGAGAAACGTACTGGCCAGCTGTGGAGGGGAATTGGTGACATGGTTTTCTCTTTTTTCTAACTTCAGAATAAGCATAAGGGCCAAGTGCCACAGACACAGTCTGTAAAGAACGTTTAAGTACGTTTAAGTATGTTAAAGAAATCTGACTTGAGATAGTGAAAACCTTTGAAAAGGACCTGCTGACACCCTGAAGAGGCGAAGCGGGTCTATTCCAGGGAAGCACCGCAGCGAAAAGAGATCAGACAGACACACTGTCTGCACCGGGTCGCCTGAAGCACCGGCAGGGAAGAAGCACACCATGCAACAGAATCCATGCTTTAAGGTGGACTCGACTGTCATGTGAGAAGCGACCAAATAACTCTTCAGCTGAGCACTTATCTCCTCTCCGCTGAGCTGTAATGAAACTCATGATGCTAATACAGCTGCACTATATTTAGAGGGATCTCGGCCGTGGGGGCCTCCGCCGCCTGCTGCCCGTGTTTGTTTCTGTTGGGTGTTTTTTAAAAATGTATGGAGGAGGAAACATTACGCTGCCGAGAGGCAGTGCGAGGGACCAGAGAGAGGGAGAGGGGAATAAAAAAAAAAAAAGCACGCTCCGGCAATCAGCTCGGGCCTTGGCGCTTTACTGCGCTAATTCTACCGGCGGAGAACGTGTATCCATGACAACTCGCCGGCAAATATGATTACTCCTTTTTTTTCCGCTGCAAGTGATGAAAAACATTCACATCACGGCGGACCTGCCCTTGAGGCCCTGTCTGAGGTTGTTGATTGTCTGGAACAGCCAGATGAATGCATGCTTGTCTCTGCGTGTGTGCGTGCATGGTAGAGGAGGAGGAGTGTGAATGTCCTTGTTGCACTCCTGCTCTCTGTTTTGCATGTCTAGACATGTCAATATTCCTGCCTTCTCTCTCTCTCTCTCTCTCTCTCTCTCTCTAACACACACACACACACACACACAGATATGAAATGGGTGACAACCCCTGCACACGCACACCCAATAACTACTGATACTACACACACTGAGTCATGAATTACACACACACACATGAGCTGCGGGCCTGGGTGGGTGCCTGCGGGGCTGATATATTTATGAAACCTTTTCTGATCTTCACGCTTCATGGGGAAGAAGGTTTCACTCTGAAGTCACCTTAACCGGTAGAAAAGGGTTTAATAAATGCTCAAGAATTTAAAGATCCTTCTCTTTCGAATCTGCTACTTTTGAAAGATAAATAATAACAATATCTTTCCACTAGATACGTAGACAATCACATAGTGAATCTTGACAAACAATCATCAGTAATGTGGAGATAATGGTAAGACTATAACTCAAACTTTGCTATGATGAAGCCTTTGAAGCCAGGAGCAGACAACCCGTATAGCCTGTTACTATAACCAAGCAGCCATGCTTATCCCACTTTCCCGTCATTAGAAAGGGTTTTACACAAAATGAGAGATCCTGCATTTCAATTGGAAACCATCTTGCCCGTTCCTATATTAGTAACATTTCTGAGTTTTGGGCTGTAATATTGGAAGGTTGGCATGGAAACAAGCACACGGTATATGATTAACCCAAACACCTCCATTGCTCAGTGGCATATTTTCTTATATCCAGCAGAGTGCAAAACAGAGAAAATATTCACATAGATTGTTGCCCAAAAACATACTTAAAACAGGGTACGCATGATGAGGGCAACCTCACCCTGTTTCATCCTCCCTGTAACAACAATGTCCACCTGAAATATTCACAGTGCCCCTGGATGGTTTGATTGAAGAAGATAATGAGGAAAAGTAATATACTACACATGCCTACAACTGAAAGAATGAAGCTTGGGTCCAAACATGGGGTTCATAACAACTTATAGTCTATAGACCTGTGGCGTGACAACGCTATTGTTTTGAGGGTGTCTTATTGGCAAAAGAAATAAGAGCATTTCTTAGAAAACAGCAGCAGCCCAAAATGGCACATTTTGGACAATATTGTTTTGTTAACTGTGTCATAAATGTTATAAAGTAGTATTTACCACATGCCTAATAAATATGAATTAGTCAAACAAAGTAAAACACTGAAACGCTAAACATGTCCTGAAAAGGCAAAGCAAGGTTGCAAACGAACATCCTTTGTATCCGACAGGAACGACAAAGCGCCTTGATGACCCCCCCGCCGCCCCTCCCCGTCCGTACTCACCGGTACCGGGACGTCTCATGATGATTTGCTTGCGCGGAGCAGGGTGAGGGGACTCAGCCGGCAGTATGAGTGGCAGCAAGGCGGTCGGCGTGGGGTGACAGGCTACCGGCTGTGGCAGCCCCCCCCCGGAGGCGTCTTGGTGGCCCTCCGGTTTCCTCTCCCTCTCCCTGCCTCCAGAGCCAGAGGAGGACAGGATGGAGACCGATGAGGCGGGCATCGCAGAGGGGCTGGACAGGACAGTGTGGCCCCCTGAGGCTGGAGTCAGCGACTGGGAGGGGGAGATTATATATATATCGTCAAACAAAATAATAAATAATCAAAACTGTAGATTAGCATGATTTGACTCAATGGACTTTGATATGAAATAGACCCATTCGGGCCGTAACAAATTCACACCCACATGAGGTGGACACTCACGATTGGAAGAAAACCTCTGAGCAACAGACGCTTCTGTTACCAACAGCAACTATTTTCACCATTTTAATTAAAAAAGTAAAAATACATAGAACTACTGATGGATGTTTTGGTTGATATGACAATAAATGATGACAAAAAGTGACTCTTTTCCTCAAAAATTCCTTAAATTATTGGATATGCTGAGAACGTTAATGCGTTATCATTGCATTGACATATTAATTCATTAACGCTGACAATTATTTTGCGCATTAACATATTAAAAGTATATATAACACATTGCTCACTGTCTCTGAATACAAAAACAGACCGACAGTGATGGCCGAATGTTGATTCCTGAAACAAGCAGAGCTGTCGACCAGTGACACTGCACAGACTTCTGCTCAGTATTGGCTTGTAAGGGATGAATCCACGCGTCTCAACCAATGAGAGCATTGTGGGCGGGCCTAAGACTGCTGCAGCGGCTTACATGAACCAGGACAGAAAAGAAGCGGAGGAGAAATGGAGAAAAGTAGCTTTTCATTTAGATTTCTCACAGACTTAGTTTGTGGAAGTTCTTTGTAACCACTGATGTCGTGTTTAAAATACACACAAGACGTGAGAACAAGCTGCTCTTAAGCCATGCCGTTCACCCCCCAATCCCCAAATTAACTGTTGCTGGAAGGTGCCTTAACGATTAAACGTTAATGCCCTGTCAGTGGCTTTTGCTTTATATTTGATGTGATTAAATTAGTTTTTAGGTTGAGTATTACAAGAAATATCTTAAATACTACTGTCTGAAGGGAATCCTCCTGATTTAAAGTGCTTGCACTAATAAAAGAGCGCAATACACCATTTTGAATACATCATTACATTTTGCGATTAATAGCAAAATAATATTGTAATTAGTTTCGATTCAAAATTGTAATTGTTGCAGGGCACTAATATTTACATATATTTGTACCATAATATAATATTGCTAGGATATTGCTATGAGACAACATGGCCGATCCCTACACTGTCATCATATTCCCCAAAAAACTAAACGAGCTGACTATCTTACCGAGCTGGAGGTGACAAGAACAAGAGTGGATGTTGGGTTGCGCAGGAGAACTGCACCGTTGGTGGTGGCCCCGTTGATGGGGACGGGCACCTGGAGGCCCTGGAGACCTGTGTGTTGGGGCTGGCTTTGCTCTCTGGACCTGCTCCTCTCTCTCCTCCCCAATGGGCCATCAGAGAACTTGGCCAGTGGGACGTCTGGGTTGCGGACGATGACTGGGGAATCCCGGAGCGGCACAATGCGGCGTGGGGAGGGTTCCTGGGGCAGTGGGGAGGGCGGGGTAGGGGAAACCAGCATGGGCGGCGGCGTAGAGGCTGCGGAGGATGGTGGCCTGCTGGTGGCGCTGCGAGGCCGGGAAAAGGAAAGTGAAGAGGGGGTTGTGGGCTGACTCTGGGGGGAGAGGACTCTGAAGCCTGCAGGGTTGTGGCCCAGGGTCGGGTCGCCCATCATGCCCACCAGCTGATGCTGCTCAGGTTTGATCTGGTAGTCCTGGATTGCAGGCAGCGGAGGGGGCGGGTGGGTGTCGAGCTTCCTTTTGCTGGGGCTCATGGGGACTGTGAAAGTGAGATTTGTCTGATAAGTGGGCACAATCCCCGATAGGTGGCGCTCTCGGTCAACACCCGGTGTACCCATCTTAGTGGCGCTAGGATGGCGATGGCGGCGCGGCGTGAGTGGGCCAGGGGCCGTGATGGGGCTGAAATTGGCAGGACGAAAGCCGAGGAGCGGGGAGGGGGAGGGTGACGGAGTAGGAGAGAAGGGCGACTGGTTGGAGATAGGCGAGTATAAGGGTGTGCCTGAGCGGGAGCCCCCCAGGGAGACCAGCATGGTCGCTGCCTCACACTCGTCAAAGTCAAAGCGAGAGAGGTCCTGTGGGAGCATTGAGGGAAGGACCAGGCGGGGGCGGGAGTCCCCTCCGCGGCTGCTGGCCTCACTGCTCTCGCGTGACGTCTCGTCCCAGTCAAACTCTGAGCTAGCTCTCCCACCGCTCATTCGGAGGTCAGACGGCGTCAAGGTCCCTGTGCTGCTGGCTCCACCCCGTTCCCGGCCACCTCCACTGGCTTCCATCTCCTTGGTCCTCATTGAGAGGTGTCTGGAGCAGTATCCTCGGCGTTGGGACTCTTTTGAGCAGCCTTCCCTGGAGCACAACCTCCTCCACTGCTTCCCGTTGAACTTCTTACGGATGCCTGTTGGCGTGCACACCACATCTCCCTTCTTGTACTTTTGTTGGGCGGCTGTCAGTGGGGTGCGGGAACGTGAGGAGGAGGACAAGGTTGAACCTGATCCAGATCCTCCGCCGCCACCATTTCCTCCAATAGAAGAACATCCACCTGGGGCCTTGTCTACTCTAGAGGAGGATGCGTCGGAAGAGGAGATGGGAGGGAGAGGGGGAAGCTGAGGGGTGGCAATGACAGCTGCAGCTGTAGCATTTGCTGGGTCAATGCCTAATATGACAGGTGAAGGAGGGGGGTGGGGGTTCAAGGCCAGGTGGGTAGTAGGGACCCCGATGCCTCGCACCACAGAAAGGTGGGGATTGAGGTAGCCAGGCGGGGGCTTAGAGATGATGTGGCGGTGCTGGGAAAGTGCCATTGGTTTGGCCCCAGGTATAATCGCCCCCATTGGAAGCATGTTAAAGTGAGACACCTCCATGTCTTCTTCGGGGGTAAGTGGCATGTATGGGTGGTGTTGCTGTTGTTGTTGGGGTTGTTGGTGCTGTTGCTGCTTCGCACTGTTCTCCCTTTCACACTGTCTTTCCCTCTCTCTTTCCTGTATTCTCTGGATGTCCCGCTCCCTCTCCAAGTCCTTCTCGATTTCCCACTCTCGGCCAGGAGCCAAGCTGAGGACTGAGGCCGGGGTGACTGGGGAGGTAATGCTGTGGCCGGATGTGGAGGAAACAGGGACCATACCTGGGTAGGATATTCCCCTGCCCAACACTGACCCCACGCTGGGTGTCATCCCCCGGCTCAAACGACACACCTCCTGCTCCACATCTATTTCCTCCCGGTCCTCTCGTTCCATTTCCTTGTGTCTGTCCCCCTCCTCTCCATCCCGTCCTCCTCCGGACGGGAGATCCAGGTCCCAAGGTGGCACCAGAAGACGAAGTGTTTGTCGGGAGACCCACACTGCCTGGGTCCCAACTGCTGTCCCTCTGCTATCCTCTTCCTCGTCCACGGAATGTCTTTCCTCAGACAGCAGGACACGGTAGCAGTTGGCCACTGCAGGGTGGGTGTCCACCTGGGTCACCACGCCCTCTCGGTACCACTGGCCCTGGCTCTCGCTGCCCTCATCACTTCCAAATGGTACGCAGACACGGGTGCCAATAGCTATTGGGTGGACACCGGGCGGTGGGGCATCTAGGATAATGTCCACCACCCCTGGGGGGCTGTCATGTTGATAGGGATAACGGTACAGCGTCTTCTCCCCATTCAGTTGCACCTCTAGGCTTCCGAATTCACCACTGACCTTACGTACCACTCCAGCCCGGAACACCAAGTCTGAAAAAAAACCTTTGTCCCGCCTCTCGCGTCCTCCCTCCCCGTCACCTCTTCTGCTGAGCTGTCGGGCGAGGACGCGCTGATTTTTCATTCCTTTGGCGAGGGCGTCGGACAACGCATCGGGGAGGCCGGGTATTGCGTGTGCAGACATCTGTGTGAGGGCGTGTGTGTCGACGACCACCTCCAGGTCGGCCGAGTGCTCGCTGGCGGTATCTGTTGAGGAGCAGCGGGGTAGGAGGACGGGCGACGTTCGCTCCGCATCCCTCGCACCTTCAACTCCGCCGGGCCTTTCCCTGTCCCCTGCCAGCGTCAGCGTAGGGGGGCCTGGGGACCCGTCCCCGACAGCGGTGCCGCTGTGAAAGTCGTCCATCAGGCTCCTGCTGTGACTGTTGCCATCGGGGTGAGAGACAACAAAGTCCTTTTCTGAACCGGTTGACCCGCGATTAATAACCCCACCACAGTGAGGAAGAGACGGGGGCGTGTTGCTATGGTTACCAGTAGCAGACAAGCAGTGTTCAGAGGTGTACTTCTTCTTGGGAACGCGGGCCTTGAAGGTGGCCGTTTTACGGCTGGAGGCGGGGTTCGGGCTGTTGTTGGCGCTTGGTGTACTACTATTACTACAACTGCTACCACCACTGTCGCTGTGGCTGCTGCCGCTCACAGCTGACCTCAACGACCTATCGTCTGAAGATGTCAAAAATTTCCCAGAATCCATCGCGGCTGATGCATCTGACAGCCCTTCTCTGTGAAGACCCCCACCCTCTGATGCGTCCCGTGCCGTGATTGGGTCCATCTGGGAGGCCTCTGAATGTGAATTTGAAGGAAATGATGAGGGGGGTGTTCGGTTTTGTGGGGATCTGCTTCTATCTCTGTTCTCATCTGAGTCTCTCTTCTCCCCTCCTTCAGGGGCATCCCCTGCTCCGCGACGCTTCCCCCCTTTGGCCCGGGTGGAGGGAGGCGAGCGCCGGCCCTGCTTTTTTATCGGCTTCATCTTTTCATCTAGCTTGCCTTTTCTCTAAACAAGTCGTTTTATTTATTTATCCCAGAGCTGTTCTTTGGCCCTCTTTTCTGTTATCTCTATTTCCCTACTCTGAAGGGGCCTCTCTCGCTCATCCTGTCTTGTCTTTGTTGCGCGACTTTGGCACTTGCCCACCTTATTCCAGAGACTCTAAAAGAAAAGAGACAGGGATTATGGGTTACTCATGTGGCAAACACATTCAGAAATGCAACCAGCCCATTCACCAACCGCATGGCGTAGAGTGGAAAAGTGACTGATCCGGTCAAAATCAAACATTGCTGAAGACATCAAATTAATTGAAAATAAAAGCAAGGCTAAGTGAGACTTTATGAACACCATAAAAATGATCCGAAAAAATAAATATATATATATATATCATGTGCTAAATAATGCACCATCTTACCAGAGTTGTAATTAAAATGACTCATCCACAAATTCAAGATACACTAATTCATTACATAACAGGTTGTACTCGCATTACACAAGGCCTGCATCCATACCAGGTACATATTGAAAACAGGAGGCCATAATGTAGGGTAAACACAGAGTAGGCTCACAGCACAGTACGGAAATAGTGAGGAGCACTTTGCAATTTGCCCAGACAAGCCTTTCGGCACGCACACACGCACACGCACACACACACACACACACACACACACACTACTTCTTGGCCAGGGCAGTCGAGGCGGGGGAATTCCTTCTTTGCTCGCATGTTGAAACCCTTCTCTCTCTCTCTCTATTTCAAAGCAAGAGTCAATCCGCCCCTACAAACTCCATTTCCTGTGAAAGACCATTACCTAACTTCCCTTTACTTTATTCCTTATTCTGTCTCTTTGCTACTATAACGCGTCCGTTCTTATCCCCTGACTTCCTTCTCTCTCTGATATCAATTCCTACCTCCTCATCAGTCAAGTGTCCGTCCTCATTTTGTGTTGCAGTCACCAAGAAAAAGCAGAGTAGTTCCGATTAATTGTCATTCTGCAGCCGTCATTCAGCCCTGCCGCCGGCTACGCCGGAGTCATTCAGTAAAATATCTGGACTCACACTGGACGTGTTCACAGCTGAGCCCCCGTTTGGGGAGTAAAACAGATTGTTCTTGCCGACTTGTTGACGGGGAGACTGTTTTCATTGAGGTGGTTTGTTTGCCGTGTGGCTGGCTGATACGCGCGGGACTCTGCCTCTTTTCTTCCAACACAAGAGCCTCCAAGGTGCTAAGAGTGCCAGGAAGACGTTTATAACGAGCGTATAGGCGCGAGACTCACAGCACCCCTCTTTTCTGAATAATTGTCACTCCCGTAGCCGCTGTCAAAATGGATCGGATTTGACGTCTCTTATTTGCCGATAGACATGTCGACTTGTCGGTGACTGTTGTTAACTTCCATGTCGGCAGGTCTGTCCCCGTCTCTACGTCCACCCTCCCACCTGCCTCCCTGTTTGTCTGTGCAGGTCCTTTTAATGACTGCCACATCATGTCGGCCGGAGAGAAATCCATTTCCAGAGATAAGTGCCGGCTGTCTTAAGGCCGCACGCACGCACGCGGAGAGCAAACATCTACGCGATGGTGGTTGGGAGAGAACACAGAGAGCGAGGGAGATAATAGCCGAAACTGTGCTCTATGCAAATCCCTATTTAGGACAGACAGCCGTAGAGCCGCCACCATAAAATGATTTGGCAGCCGGCCTTACTTGGTCACGATGGAAGTATGCTACGTGTGTTTACTCAGTAGTGTAAAACAGCTGGTGTGAGAGTCATGGGCCTGCTGATAAGAGCCCCAAAGACACAACTGACGCAACTCGCAACCCACTCTGGGAGTAAGGAAGCCCATATGGGAGCTACGATGAGCTGTACGCGACCTGCACATCGGCGTCTTTGGTCACAATACATTCACTGAAACCGCGTTCACCTTCTGTTATGTTACACAAATAAACATGTTACAGCGGTCTATAACAATGAGTCATGAGACTCTATAACACTGCAAATGCCCTCCTAACGTTTTAACCAATCTTACTATACCGTAAATCACAAATCTGCCTGACCTTTTAGTCCTACGAGGACAGTAGGTTACGGTTTAACCGACTGTGGAGATGCTGGATCCTTTTTTTGTGCCAAACCTCACGTTCAAAAGTTGTGTGCAGATTGCAGAGCCCCTGTGTGAGAGCGTGTAACAGGGTCACCGGGTGCTTCAGGAAGGAGAGGCCGGCTAGATAACAGCTGCTAACTTGTCCAAACAAGGCGCAGAGCACGCGTTATAAAACGAGGACGCGGTCGTCCCCGCTGCTTTGTCCGCATAGTACCGCGTATGTGTCCAGCCCTCGTAGTACCGGGAGTAGTACTACACAGCAGGCCGTGGCGTGCAGCGCCCAGGCCTCAACTACACACACACACACGCACACGCACACACACACGCACAAGGCCGCTGGGAAATCCTCCACTCGGTGTCACCGGGAAATAACCGGTTTAACGGGCACATTACCCGCTTGGTACCGTGTAATAGCGGCAGCGTGAAGGGTCCCGGGCGGATGAAGGCGTTAACTTTGTGATCCGTCCCACGGTCACAACACCGGCGGGCAGAGGCGGCCTCCCCGGCCCGCCCGGGACTGACAGCCGGGTGGGAAGGGAGCTAAAGCCGGCCGGGCAACTCGGCGGTGACCCCCGTCGTTATCGGAGCCGTTGCGACCGAGACACCGGCGGGAGAAAGTGACAATGTGTGGCCACGAGCTAGTCCAACGGACGAGGCCCGGGAGCCCCTTAAAAACACGTTCATTAAAAGAGCCACGTTGATTCGCGAGGGGGGTAAAAAAAAAATTAGAAGAATAAAACATGTAACTGAGACAGAGGACACGGGACTTTCCGAGCTTTCGACACGGCGCAGGGCGAATAACAGTTGTTCTAGGAAGTCCGAGGGCAGTTATGGCGTTGAATTCGTTTCTAGTGGAAAAGTTTCGAGCTCACTATGTCTCTCGGCACCGCTCCCTTTTTTTTCTCTCGCAGGAGACACACAATCCGCCCTGCGCTGCTCTCCGCGGGCTCACCGCGCACACGGAGGGGAAATACGATCGGCTCACCCGCTTATACTGATTACGGCAAACACGGTAAACACGAACGGCGTTAGCGAGAGCGCGCCGAGCCCCGCCGCGCTGCTGCAGTGTGCGGGCAGCTTATACTCACCGCGGCTCGTGCGGCGGGTCTCCGCCGAGTCCGCCGGATAAAGTAGGGCAGGGCGGCCGGTCGTCCGCGGCTGCCAATTAAGGGCGCTCCATGTTTCTCCGGTAAAGCAACTTAAAAGGGGGGAAAAACTACTGCCCCTGTGCATTCTACACTACAGTCGCAAAATGGTGAATGAAGCCCCGGAGCCTTGACAACCAGCCCGCGCGACCAATCGCCGGGCACGAACGCGTACAGTAGCCAATGGGGTGTCGCGCAGGGAAAGTTGGGGCGGGGCCCCGCGTCAAAGTCACGCTGATCGGCGTGCAGCTGCGGCCAATCGCGGTGTGGGAAAACACAGAACAGCTGTTGGGAGAGCCAGGCTGCGGCGGCCAATGGGGCTCCTGTGTGGGCAGGTCTGCGACTTTAGTCGGACACGCAGGACGGTATGAAGATTTTTCTCGTTTTTTATCCCTTCTTCATTTGTCTGCCAACATGGGAGACGGGCGTAGACCGAGGAGACGGTCTGTCTGTCTGTCCTTTTTTTATACCGCTTTGACTTGTTTCGGTAGACTAAACACACGGACATGACATAATCAAATTAAATATAGATCAATATGTCATATCCCAAGCTGTCTCGGTCGCTATAACTACAGATCAAGTTTTTATATCACAGCTTTGATAAAATTAGACAACTCTCTGTGTGTTAAGTATTCATCTGTGTGCATGGGAGCTGCGTCTCCACTGTGGTCCACGCGAGCCACAGGTTGAGTGTAGTTTCAGGGGAACCGCAGAGAACACCAACTCCCAAATTCTCATCCTTTCTCCCTCTCCATCCCTCTCGCAAATTCCCTCCCAGCGAATCAGAGGGGCGCTCTTCACGGCACATCGTCCCTTAGTCCCGCCTTCCCCCGCCAATCGGGACAGCTGCTGGTAGGCCATACGTCACCGGAGCAGCGTGTGATTGGCCGAGAGCCCCGGGGTCTGCAGGCCAATGGCCGAATGCTGCGGTGAGGTCATTAATGCTTGTTGCCATCAGCTTGGCCAAACAGGAAGAGTGAAACCCCAGTGAGTAAATGTGGTCCAAACATGAGATTATGGGTCCTAAGAGAGTGACCCACATACACTGTGGGCCTTCCCTGCGCACGCACACACTGTGCATACACTGTGCACACACTGTGCACACTCTTTGCACAACAGGTACAGACACACTGACAAAGAACACGATACAAACACGCAAACAGGCTGAGTTAAACACACACGAGTGCTCAAACACACAGATACGCACACAGATCAACACAATGGCATTCCACTGCTATTCCATAACACGCTAATGGCGTGTGTGGATCACTGCGTAGCCGTGTAACTCGCTGTTTCTATAGCTTACAGGCACAGATGGCGAGTTGGGTCACTGATGATACAGAGCCGGCTGGTTGCGGCAATGCAGTTTTCCTGGCATGCATGCACACACACACACACACACACAGACACACACAAGCACAACAGAGCAGTTACACGTTCCACAGTTCCACACACAACGGGGTGAAGGCTTACAAGCCAGCACCTACACACACACACAGCAGGCGCAGCTGAGTTAGAACATGCCTTGACGTTACATAACCCGTACGTGTGAGCAGTCACACACACACACACTGCGCCCAGCCCTGTGCAACCACACATACATATTTACACACTCGTGTGTCTATTGTGTCAGACCGTACAACCTCTTTGAGCATGCAAACATACAGTCATGCACTGTTGCACATACAACAAAGTAGAGTACGGGTTTATTGTCGCCATTTACTTTGCACATGAATGCACAGGCTGCACTCGCGCAGCATTTCTGCATCTCCCCCATGTCATAACCGCAACACAAGCGACTTGTGACTCACACGTCTGCAAGAATGCTCTACAAACACACGCGCAGACATGTAAAAGCAGAGCGAGTGGGATCTCCACCCCCCCTCCCACACCTCCCCTCAGTAGTGAAGCACTGCAGTGTCTGTCTCCCCAATCAGTGACTGCTCCTTCACAGCAGACAAGCGTGCATTGGGAGAAACGTATCGCGAGCACACAACTTTCAAAGGGTGTCTGGGTCCATGAGACAACCGCCTAGAGGCGTTCAGAGAGACTGGAGACCTCAGGTGAGCTTTAGCATGAGGCGGGGATGTGAAAGTGAGAGGGGGAGGGGGGCTTTGGTGGTAAAAGACGAGAGAGTTTTAAAGGCCGGGGGACACAGACTGAGGCCTGACGGAGACAGAGAGTCGGCCCTAAGCCGCAGAAGTCCGGCAGTCTGTGAATGAGTGCCACAAATCCGTCTGGCATTAGCACCTCTGAGCACTTTCTAAGAATGAGGCGGAGAGCCGCCGCTAAGCCCCCCCGCCTCAATCCCAGTCACTTCACACTCCGTGCATTACAGGCCACTTCACTGCTGAACCAGGGGACCCCTGCCTCTGTACGCGACCGAGCACTCTCCACACACTCTGATTCAAGAGAGTGTGTTTGAAAAAGAAAAAGAACAAATGGAGAGTGAGAGACTGACCAGATGAGTCCCGGCTCTACTTCACATTTGGAGGTTGAGTGAATGCACCGTGGACTCAACAGCCTGCGCCCACTAATGAAATCGGAGATGAGTGCGCAGTCATTTATGACCAGTGATAAAACAACTTTCTGTCGTCAGATGAGGTAGTTACATCTTATCCTGTACATTGACTTTACAGTACTCCACACTGACCAGTAGCTAGTAATGTCTCACTTGTACTTTTGTGGGAAAAGCCTTCGTAAAGAGCCACAAAGGTGTGATACGTGTGTTTTCCTGGAGAGCGAGAGAAGAGAACCAATTCTATAAATGAGGGATGGCTGGACCTTGAGGTGCCGCCTTCTCTTCCCACGATCAAGAAAGAACTATCAAACTTCAAATTTCAAGTTCCCAAAAGTGCTCGGAAATCCAGGGAAGTCTGATCCTCAGCATTTCTCATGGAAACAGGACCAACTCGGCCTGCTGATGAGACGGTCTAGAGCTCCAGGACAATGCGGCAGATCGGGTACCTGCGATCCGGCAAACAGTCAAAAGAGGAGGAACACATCGGCCGCAACGCCATCCGGGAAGCCCCCCGGCTGTCGTCTGCCAATGGTTTTGCACTTGTAAACTGGCTACTTCCATGTCGTCTCGTGTGGGACGGCTAACAATGAGCAGCGCCCGGAGCGGGACGTCTTGGCCGTGATGCCATGTGGCTACACCAGAACCCCAGGAATACAGCCCCCCCCCCCTTGAAGGCTCATCTGTCATTAGGCTGATGGTCGATCAGTAACTCATCCGTCTCGCCAGATGTACTGATGTATATTTGTTCATTGCACTCGTTGGACCAAAGTTCGGCTTTTAAAAAGTAGTGACTCCATCGTAGGGGGTGAGTGGGCCTGCAGAGCAGAACCTATTTCTGCCCTTAGTTTGTTGCCTAAAAGAAGTTCTTTGTTGATGTAATGTACACATGGGGTGTTAGTTAAGTGTGAACGTTACCCAACAAATGTACAAACACGACATTGTGGACGTAGTCATGGTGACATCACACATTTGTTTTTCTCGATGTTCTGAAGCTTCATGTTCATCACTTTTGCCGTCGCCATGTTGTTATTTTTCCCAACAATAGAACAATAGTCACCATATTTGGAATGTGTAGGAGTGACTCAGCTCGGATAGCAGCAGCGACTTGTCAATCACACTAAGAAGCATCCCCTGCTTTATGGTCCGTGTAGATTAGATTAGATTCAACTGTATTGTCATTGCAGGTACTGAACTTAGGGCAGAGTATGTGTATGTGGTATAAATAAATGAGGGAACATGTACAGTGTAAAACATGTACATGGAGCTGTATGTACATTAAGCAGCAAGGTTGTAAATATGAATGACATGGTACTGCAAATCAATGACATGATAGTCCAGACTCTAAATCAGCGGTTCCCAACCACTGGGCCGCGGACCGCTACCGGTCAGTCGGCCAGTTGGTACCGGGCCGCACCACAGAAGGAATATATAACTTTTTTTTTGTCATTTTATTTATTTAGAAAATCGACCGGACTCTCTCTTGACATATATTTTTTTCACGTTTACAATGATCCACTCCTCGATGTGTGCGGCGGTTCCGCCCACCAGCGGACAGAGAGTGACTAAACACCCCCGTCGGTTGGTCCGTCTGCAAAGACCACTGCCCCAGATTGAGACATGAACTCATGTTTACAATGTTTACTGAGGGAATTTCTCATAGACTTCTATACAAGCACAGGAGTCACCCCCCAAAGGCCAGCAGGGAGCGATGCAGGTTTTGTTCCAGCTTTCCAGATGAAAGTCAGCGTATAAGGAACAGCGGCCTCCTGGGTAAAGATCTGTGTTTATTTGGGGGTTATATTGAGTGCAATATGCAAAATAGGAGCGAGCTGTTTGTGTTGCGTTGCTCCTTGTAGCTGCTGTGTATTGTATGTCACACAGAAGCACTTCACACACGTGAAACAATGCAACGCACACTTTGTGTGTGGACTGATGCTTCTGCCCCACTCTGACTTTCATGCATATCGAGCAATAACAAACACATTTCTTTACTTTAGTTTGCATATTTCTGTTATATTACGATATTGTTTTTAAACGGTTCTGTGAATAAGAAATATTTGATGTAACTGATGAAAATGACATTTTCTGCCTGTGGCACCTCATTGTTTTTAATCACCTTGTCAGTGACCTGAAACACGCTGTAAGCGGCTCGTAGCTGTGCTTTAGTTACGTAGTGTACAGTTCTCAGTATCAGTACCATGAGAACTCGACCACTTCCACAAGAAAGACGCCCGGACACAACGCTGCAGATGCTTTGGTTACTTGTTCAAAAAAGTCTTATTTAAAAAGAAGGTC